TTGTTAGTAGATAGAAGTAAAAAACATCCTTGCTACTGCTGGAAGCTGGTTGATGCTCTAGCTTAGGGAGAGAGTCATAAGCTATACTGGGCCCGGACTGATCTCCCCTCCTTCCAGGCTGGATGGCATGGACCAGGGGAATGCTTTGCTCTTAAGAGGAACTGACTCCATCATGTCCAGTTCATTCTTCCCCAATGGCCAGCGATGAGGGGCGTAGCTCAGATAGAGCACATATGTAGCACATTCAAGGCCCCATATTCAATTTCTAGCTCCCAGCAGGGGAAAACCCCAAACCCCAAACCAAGCCAAAACAACAACACAACAAAAAACTAACTAAACTTCCTTCCTCTGTTGGGTGAATTAAAGGGTACAGAGTGGGTTTTAAATATGGCCGAGGCACATGGAACTGGGAATAGTATTTTGTGTGTGCACTTTGAAGCTGTAGTTGGTTCCTATCTTTTCCCAGAAATTGATTTGTTGACCTAGGGGATATGCCCAAAACTTGAGTTGCTGGGGCAAGTGCAGTGTGTTCTTTGACACATCTTCCTAGAGATTCTCATGTTCCAACTTCACTCTGCCTTTAGACACCCTTACTCCCATCTGGTTCCTGGACAGCTGCTTCCTAAAGCCAGCTAGAATTCCCTCCTGAACTCCAAATCTCCTGACAGATATTTCTCCTTGGACATTCTGCAGGCATCCAGAACCCACTATTTCCCAAACAACCTATGCTTTCCAGGACCACTCTGCACTTACAGTCTCTGCCAAATTTCAGCCTTTTGTCTGAAAACTTCTCTGATCTCCTCAAGTCACTTAGTAGCCCTTGCCCATGGCTCCTGCTCTGCCCCAAAGCCTCAGGATGGCAGCAGTCCCACTGCAGTTGTGTTTAATCTGTCTCCTCTCCTGCCTGTGAACTCTTAGCGGTCTTTTCATCTTCCTACCCTGGCCAGGTCAGTACCTGGCACATGAGGCTCTCCTGGATGTTTGCTGAACGAATGAAAATAAGCCATCATAGGCGGGTGAGCCAAGTCAGACTCTCCAGTAATGAGGACTTTTGCAAGTGATCATGGTCACCTAAGACCATCAAAGGAAGCACAGATAATTTCTGGCATTTTTTTTGCAACTCTAAATTATGATAACACTGTGAGACGACTTCCCTGCTGCAATTTTAAAGGGTCTGAAAAGATAGTCATAGTTGTAATTAAACTTGACGCCACTAGGTGTCGCTCTGGTTACCTGGGTGGTGCTTTCTGTCTTTGGAGTCGTTCAATCCTTGCCCCTTCCCTATCAACTCATGGTTTGGAATCTCTTAAATTCAGGGTTTAGTTTAAACTTATGCGGCAAATCTGGGGAAAGGCAAGAAAATTGTTCATTCTGCTCTGGCCAAAATCCCTTTTGCTTTTTAAGTAGGTTTAGATCTTGCCACATGGAGAACTGTTGGTTGTTCTCAATATCTTGGAGAACGCTTTCCTTAAAATCATATTTAATTCCTCATATTTCCTTCATAGAAACAGGCAGAACAAACCCCTTCCTTTTCTTCCTAGACTTCCTTTTCAAGTTCTTAATCACTGGTCAGTGTTCCTTCTCTAAATCTTCCTTCTAGATCTAGACTTTTTTGTTTGTTTACATTTTTTATCTTTGTTATAAACACGTATCCTTTAAAAATTAATAATCCTGATTTTTTAGAGCAGCTTTAGTTTTACAGAAATCTGAACAGAAAGTAACAATATTCCCACATATTTGTTCGCTTCCTCAGCCCCTTACTCTAGCATTCCTATTATTAACAGAGTGTATTAATATAGCACATTTGTTACAATCAATGAACCGCCAACAAATAGAGTTTGCTTTTTTGCACAGTCCTCCTTTTTATGGAGACTGCAGTGGAGGACAGTCTGACAGCCGCTAAATTGGAAGAGACTGAGATAAGGGTCAGGAATCCTGGGGTCTTCTCCATCCCTGTTACCATTTGGCTACCTAAATGTTTTCTCATTCTGTGCCTTCATTTCCCCAGTGCCTGGCCAGGTCCAGGTGTTTCAAAGACCAAATAAAATAAGGGAAATGAAAATGTTTCAAAAAGGATGGAGGTGGGATGATGGTGTAGTGGGGATTTTTTTTTTCTTTTTTTCATAATATGCTTCAGGTTGTTTTGTTGCTTTTTTGAGAGTAAAGGATGATATATTATAGAAATATGAGGGTGAAAATTCAAGTGTAGGGTTACATTTCCTATTTATTTAACCACATTGTATAGGTCTCACCCATTTTTTTTTCCCATCAAGCAAGCAAATAACCCACATTCCACTTTCTTTTAGTCTGTAGGCAGTTTTGTCTTGTTTAGCTAGCTGTTTCCAACACCCATTTCAGTGTTCTCAGAGGAGTTCTGAGGGAATTGTTCAAAAAAAAATTGAAGCAGTGAGATTGGTTGTGGTGGTGCTCACAGCACTTGTAATCCTAGCTATTCAGGAGGTTGAGGCAGGAGAATCTAAAGTTCAAGACCAGCCTCAGCAACTTACACCCTCAGCAACTTAGTGAGATCCTCTCTCAAAATAAAGAATATAAAGGATTGGGGATGTAGCCTAGTGGCAAAGCTCCCCTGGGTTCAATCTCTAGTACAAAAAAAAAAAAAAATTGAGGTGGTGAGATCAGGTATGGAACACTCCCAGAATTCTATTCAGGAAGCTGAGGCAGGAGAGTCCACTAGTTGGAGGTCAGCCTGGGCAAGATAGACACCCTCCCATCTCAAAAAAAGAAAAAAGAAAAGTAATGAATAAAGGCTTCAAGTACAGGAAAGGAAAACAAGCACTAGTTCATAGAGTCCTTGTTCTGGGCCAAGCCCTTCAATATACAATCTTGTGAGATGGTCTCAATGTACACATTTTGCATATGAAGCTGGAGCTAACAAGAGACTAAGGAAGTTGCCCAAAGTCATTGCAATAAGCAGGAGCTGAAATCTGAATTCAGTTTTGCCTGACTCCAGGAGCTGCTCCTCCAGGATCACTATAAGGTAACAGGCAAATTTGGTCTCCCACAGGTAAGCAGATTCTGGATACAATCTCATTTTAGAACAGCAAAACACTGCGTAATCATCCTTTTTTTTTTAAATTTTTAAGTTGTAGACGAATACAATGTCTTTATTTATTTATTTTTATGTGGTGCTGAGGATTGAACCCAGTGCCTCATATGTGCTAGGCAAGCGCTTTACCACTGAGCCACAACCCCAGCCCCAGTGTGTAGTCTAAATTCTTAAAGTGCCTTTTCCTGGCTCTGCTTTATAATCGAGTAAAATCATTGATGACACTGATCTTTACATTTTATTTTCCAAACTATAGGATTTAATTTTTTTTTCTTCTACTACTTGAGAATTCTGAAGCTTAATGCTGTAGCTTAGGAAGTGGAGGAGGAAGGATTTATTTAAAAAATTACCTCGCTGAAGATATTAGATAGTTGCTCACAAGTTCAGTCCCTCTGGAAGGCAGAAATCAAAGAAAAAGACAACTGTCCAAGGAGTTTCAGCTGCTTTTAATAGTATCCCAGCTCTGCCCCTGGGGAGCCCAGACACTGGGCAAGAGTCTCCAGGGTCCTTCCTCCCTATGTAGGGCTCTCCTGTCTGCTCCAGGCTGTTCTCTTCGGTGTAGGAAAGCTGTCTAGAACACACACTAAGATGCCAGTGATTCATGTGTTTTCTTAGAGTGTTTGTATTATTAAAGGGAGAGGCTGGTGAACTCTGAGGAAAGACTCTCGGGGATAACTGTAGGCTACTGGCCCACCAGAGCCTTCTACCAGCATCCCCGCCGCCCCTGTGACATAACTTACCCTCTACCTGACCAGATTAACCTATCATCACCAGTTGGCTAATCAGGGCATCTGCTTCCCCATCCCGTGGCCTGACGGGCCCCTTCCACCACCCACCAGAGCATTTGCTGTTCAGTGACTTGAGGGGGACGAGTCTGGGTTAGAGTAGACTTTTCCCTTCTTCTAGGGTTCAGTTGTCAAGTGGCTAGCCCATCTGTTTGTCAGATAATAAAACCTGGGAAAGGGGGTGTAGTGTGCAAGGCTTCTCTCAAAACATTGCTGGTGAGGCGTGACCTTTGTCCCCATTCACTTGCTGGAAATCTGCCTCTGCCACCCACCTACTTGGAGCTGCGTCAGGACTCAGGTGGCAGTTCTCCAAGGACAGGGGCTGCAAACTAGAAAGGATCTACTGCCTGCATCCAGCAGACTGGTCTGTGCAGTATTGCTTGCATTGTGTTGTGTTGCTATTTGTTATAGATTTTGGAACATATTGCACTTTATCAAAATCTTTATCAAAAGTGGGAAAATGAAAGGCATCAGGTGACTTAAAAAAATCAGTGATTCAGCATGGGGACATGCTCCTGTAGGCGATCACCTGAGCTCAGAAATTAGAGGCCAACCTGGGCTACAGAGTAAGACGCCATCTCAAAAAACAGAGTTGGAGGACTAGATTTCTTTGTGGAGATGGAGTGTTCACACCTGGCCAGTGTTGTTCATCTGCTACCTCCTTAGCTCCTGAAGGGAAGGCAGCTTTTGGCTGCTGCTGCTGCTGCTGCAGAATATTAAGGGGGATATTTTCCTCTGAAGCCTCAGGTGTTTTGTTGTTGTTGGCTGCTTGTGCCCAGATAGATAGGATCTGCACTTACCTGCTGGCCCTTAGCCTGGAAGTATGGCTAACTTATGAGCCAAGCTGGAGAGGCTGAGCAGGAAGAGGGGTACTTCCTTTAGCAAAGTCCTGATCCAGGGACAAACCTTGTGGTCAGACAGCTCCAATATGTATGTGTTTCCAGTAGGGATTTCTGAATCCTGGCTGTGTATGCCATTCTTTCCTTTTCTCGTTCCTGTGTATTTTCTGCATAACATGTAAGGGTAGTAAAATAGGGGAGAAAATGTATCTGAAAACTAAGAGGCCAAATTATATAGCTTTTATTTTTGTGGAAACTCTGAAAGATAAACATTTTGTAGCTATTCAGAAAAAGACTTCAGAAGCAAACTTTTGAGGGGCATTTTTTATTATAAATTTAATATGGTTGATTAATGAAAAATCACAATGAAGTACCGAGAAAATGTTTGTCAATATAAAAATTTTAGCAGCATTTCCGTAGTTTCAGGCTCTAACATTAGTCATACTTCCTCCCGCTATCAAAAGAGAAGAGAATCCAGTGGGACTACAAGAGAGCATCAGGATCTCCCACTTAATAAAGGCCTCAAGGAAATCCTCACACCCAGTGTACCTTTAGTATTAAACTCCAGCCCATGAATTTCTAGAATGTCAAAGCACATAAAAAAGCCTCACTGGCTTTAAAGTTTGAGACAATCCCTTTTTTTCAAGCTGCAGGGGAGAACAGGGATGGAAATTTAAACTGGACTTGATGTGTAGTGTCTAGTTACACATCCTTACATCTGTACATTCTCCACGCTGGTGACAATGAAAGGCCACTGCAGGGCTGACCAGTATCTGGTATGTGGCAGCAGTGGTGGTGCTGGTGGGGTGGGGAATCCAAGAGTAATATGAACAGGATGGGCGCTGGTGTCTCAACCACACACAATGCTCTGGGGCAAGTCAGAGCTTGGGTGGTCTTACTACATCCAGGTTAATGAGGAGGGGTACAAACAATGTGAAAAAATAATACTGGCAAACTATTCCCCTGCTTCTTTGGTACTTTCCAAAATTCTCTGATCAAAAAAGTATAAGGGAAGCACACCATTAAAAAAATTACAGTTTTAAGTATTTACAAAAGTAATTATGATATATTACACAATAATCCATACATAGTATATGAACAAATACTTCAGTGAAAGCACTTGTGAACTCTGTCCTGGTATTATTTAATCAGATGTGGGCCTATGTACACCTGCCCAAATTTGTATTGTGTATCTTGTATCTCATTTATCTTACAGTATATTAAAGAAGAAAGTATCATGGAGGGGGGCAAAAAAAAGATTTTCCAATCTATACTTTCTTTTGAAAAAGCCTTAACATTTGCCACAGAAATCATTATGTACAAGATTTATTGAATATTGAATTCTAGGCAATAACCTCCACTCCCATTTTGAATGTTTGAAATAATGCTACCTATTCTATGTATACAATATATATTTAATATATAAGTAACTGCACCACATTATATCACCACGATAACAGTTTAATACATATTACTATGTACAGTAGTTAAGTTAGCTCTGGAAGATGAATTTCTGCAGCCTGGGTGAGGTGTGTGGTCTGGAACCATTTGAAAAGGATGTGGAGAGCTGGTTGGGAGACAGCTGTGTGTGGTTGGGATGTGTGTGTGTGTGTGTGTGTGTGTGTGTGTGTGTGTCGGGGGCGGGGGAGGGAGGGAGAGGGGTGGAGAGAGAGATAGAGAGAGATATGAGGGAACACCTTCCACATACCCATGCTAGACTATCCCTTTAGTTTACTGGTTGGAAGAAGACAAATCACACATATGGAAGGATCCCATATATGAGAAGAGCCATGATAGCAGCACTGAATAACCCAGCCACTGGGACAGTCACAAACCAGGCCACAAAGATATTACGGAAGAGGCGCCAGTCCACGGCCTTTCGGGAGCGGATCCAGCCCACAGCCACCACGGAACCCACCTGCAGAAGCACAAACATTTAAAAGTAAAAACGAGGCCCCTGTATTTAAAGGTGAGACACAAAATTTACATTTAACCAATGTAAATAGGCTAAGCACAGAAATAAACTACATTATAAAATTGACAATTATTTCCCCTAAGTTTGTTAAATGTTTGTTAGGCACAATTGTTTTAGGATTATTCCATTCCATATATAGTTGTGATGTACTTTTTCAACTACAATTCACATAAATATTATTGAATCTAAACTATCAACTATGACTCATAAGGTGACAGATATGGACATGTGCAAATTAGAATGCTAATATTAATTCGAGTATTTTTCAAAAACACTCAAAGTTCATTTATAGCTTGTTGAAATTTTTGAAAGAAAAAAAAAGATAACGTTATCCTAGAAAATGAAAATCCTAAGAAAATACAATGCTTTTAATATCTCATGCCTCACAGGGGGACTGATTATGCTGAGAGTTTAATAGGGTGCCCCTTGGTCACATGCAAGTTGGATTTTAAAGAACTACATAAAATATGCTTTGTCTCTATTAATCTCCAAACACTTAACAGTGGCCAATGAGATTCAAACAGGAAAGGTGATTTAAAGCATGAGTAATTTAACTACAGAAAAATAAAATAGAACTTAAGATGGAAGCAAACTGGAAACCAAAAAACTAGCATATTTAAAGGCAGTTAATCTTCAGCCCAGTTTGCATATCTTTAATCACAACTAAGGCTGAACTTCATTTTTTTTTTTTAAGACTGGGGATTGAACCCAGGGGCACTTTACCATTGAGCTATATCCCCAGGGCTTTTGCTTTTTTGAGACAGGGTCTTATAAAGTTGCTTAGGGCTTTGCTAAATTGCTGAGACTAGAGACTCCAACTTGTGATCTGTGCCTCAGTTTCCCTAGTTGCTGGGATTATAGGTGTACACCTCTGTGCCAGTTGAACTTTCTTTTTTTTTTATTATTTTTTTTTTTCAGTTGAACTTTCTTTTGTGTAGTTACCCAATTTCATTCCTTCTAGTTTTTAACATATAAAAGTTTTTTTTTTTCATGTATTTTGCCCATTTAACATACTGGAATCTAATGTGCCCTTTATTTATTTATGTGTGAATGTTATTGAATAATAATATTAACTGTGATATCTAATATAAATACTTTCTCAATCTAGGAATTTTGCTTTGCTTCATTTTGGAATTTTCAGTTTCATGCAATTAAATATGTTATACTTTTATTCTGTGATTTATCCTTAGTTTGAATATTTCACAAATACCTAATTCTACTTTATTCTAAATTTTCTAAAATAAAATTTTTCTATTTTATTCTAAATTTAATAATATTCTTAAAATATTATTTAAAGCCATCAATTTATGTTCATGTAATTGGAGAGCTGTGGGTCTAATTTTGTTTTTCTAGCTACTCAATGTCACTTACTGGTTAAATTTTTTCCTCCTATAAACATGCTCATATATGATAGGTTTCATCTGTTCTTATACAAATATATATTTTTAAAAATATTGTGATAAAATATGCATGACATAAAACTTACCATTTTAACTATTTTTAAAGGCATTTAAGTACATCTGATTGTTGTGCAACCTTCACCACCATCCACCTCCAGACCATTTTCATCACCCCAAATTGAAACAGTACTCACCAAACACTACGGAAACAGTAACAACGTAAGAAACATAAAAGGAAACTAAATTTTAAATAATAGTGAAGAAAATGGGAGAAGAGATCCTTTTCCCCAGCACCTACTTTTAACTCATATTTCCTTAGAACACATACCATTAGTCTCTCCTCATCACTTCTCTTTTTACACCATTTGATACTCCTGATAATTTATCCTACCCCAAATAATCCCATTTTGTAAAGTACCAAGAAAAATTCTGTGCGCGGGGGCGGGTATGTTGGAGATATCTTTATAAAACCTAGTTTCCCCCATCCCATCTCACAGTATGTCTCATATTCTGGTTTTCTTTCATATCTCTAAGCAAAGACTTAGGCCTTTTGCATATACATCATTCACATTTCTTACTAGGATTATTCTAAAATGACTTTTCCCCCCCCTGAAATCATGGAGGAATTTTTTTTTCCCTTTTAATTTCCGTTATCTTTTCTAACTGGCTATGATGATAAGCTCTAGATTTTTTATCTTTCTCTTGGGCTTGGGCTTTTTACTCTAGATGTCCTCTTACCTTCCCTGGAACTCAGCACATTTCTGTGGATCCCCTGTGAGGTCAGGCCCCACAGAGATAGAGAATTCACAGAGCCTACTTCCTGATAATCCAGAAGGTTCTACTTACAAGTGCTGAAATGTTCTTTTGATGTCATTTATTAACATCGTAAAGTTTTAAATCAATATTCATAGGTGAAGACAGGTTTTTTGTTTGTGATTTTTTTTTGTGGGTGGATTTGTTTGTTTTTTACTTAATGATATACATACAGAAAGTACTCAGGTAGACAACGTACTGGGCAGCAGGTGTACAACAGTGTGAATGTACTTACTGACACACAGTTTTACACTTAAAATGATTAAAGCAATACATTTTATGTTCCCTATATTCTTACATTTTACCACAATTTGCTGAATTTTCACAATTGTTTGTGATATTTTAAGTTAGATTTTCAGAATTAGGGTTATTCAGTGTATGCTTTACAGAATAAACTGGAAATATTCTAGTTTTGTTTTGCTTTTTTTTTCCTCCTACATTGTGGAAAATTTATATGATAATGGAATTATCTATTATTATTTTTTTAATAGAAATGATGAATTAGAACAGGAGTCAGAAGTGCCACATTCTTTTTGCTCTTTTGGGGAGGATAACTTTTTTTGGAGAACTCCCTTATTTTCATTCTATTGCTCTGGTCAGGTTTCTCTACATTTTTCTACCTCTTATGTCAGTATTTTTTTGTCATGTACATTTTGCAAAAGCTAACTCATTTCACATTGGTTTTCAGATCCTTCAGATATAGCTGTGTGGTTCCTTTCATGATAAAAAAAAAAATTCTCTTCAAGCTGGACAGGGTAGAGCACACCTGGAGTCCTAGCTGCGTGGGAGGATTGCTTGAGCCCAGAAGTTCAAGGCCAACCTTGGCAACATAGTAACACCATTTCAAGAAAAAACACCAAATTCTCTATATCTGTTCGTACAATGTCTTTTCTCCTTTTAACTTAACTCCTCTTCCTTTGTTTTCCTTTGATGTGATTTGATAAATTTTATTAGTAACCACTCTATCTCCTTCTTCACTATTTAAAAAAATTTGCTTTAAATACTTCTTAAATCTTTCTTTTTTTCAGTTGACCATCTTTTTTTTTTTAATTTTTAAATTTGTTTTAATTGGTTATACTCTTATATCTTTCTTCAGAATTTTTATTGTTGTGGACTTTTTATAAAATCCTAATTTGAAATATTTGCTTATTTTATTTTTCCTTTGATAAACTGAACCATTTAAAGATAGGCATTTTCATTTTAGTGGAGGTTCAGTTGCCACAGGTTTTGCTATGTGTACACACAGAAACACACATGCATAGAGTTTTTAGTATTTTCCAAGAAAGCAGTCACTGTATTGTTTTTAAAACTCCTTGATTCAATTGTTACTTTAAAAAGCATTAAAAACTGTTCAAGGGGACATCTCTGTGTGTGTGTGTGTGTGTGTGTGTGTGTGTATGTATAATACTGGGGATTGAGCCCAAGGGAGCTCTACCACTGAGCTACATTCCTCGCCCCTTCTACTTTTTATTTTGAGACAGGGTCTCACTAAATTGCTGGGGCTGCCCTCAAACTTTTAATCTCCCTGCCTCAGCCTCCTGGCTCAGCCTCCTGAGTTAATGGCAGTTATAGGCACGTGCCACTGCATCCAGCTCCAAGGGATACATTCTTATTCCAATATTTACTTAATTTCTAGCTTGACACACTGTGATTAGAGGTTGTAGTTAGTTAATATAACTTCTATTTTTAAAATTTTGTCAATAGTCTTCTGAATTTATGATTCATTTTCATGATACCCAATAAGAAAGCCTATGATTAGTAGGGTACCAATTTGATATACAGCTGGTAATTATACTGTGTAAGTCCTTTTTTACCCCTCAGTACTTTTTCCTCTGCTTCATTTGTTATAGAATTGGACATACTAATGTCTAAGTTGTGACAGTTTCACTTAATGTACATGATTTAGTTGTTATATGTTATTTGGCTCATAAAAGTTCCACAGTATTATGTCATCACTACTGATTGTGTCTTTTGTTGATATAAAAGAACATTTTTTTCTGTATTCTAACTTGCCTTTTAATAAATTAAATATGGGTCCAGCTTAAGATCATCATCATAAAACCAATAGCAGAACTATTAAGGAGTAGGGAAAACAGAGAGCAAAATCAGAGATTAAATTAGAAATTGTAATTCTAAATTTTTAAATCCTTAGGATTTCTTATATGCTGTTCTAAATCCTAACACCAGTTGAAATCATCTATGTCACTAACAGGTTGACAATGTGGATAATTCACAAATGACAGTAATCTCAATCCAGCCCACTATGGAATTAAAAAATTTTAAATAAGACCACTCAGAATTCCTATCAGAAAGCTCACAAACAAGTGTTTGTGTTCAGCAATGGTCTTAATGTGGTATACGTTATGCTTTAGAGCTAAAGATCAAAGTGGATTAAGGTTCACAGAAGTGAACAATTAACAAATTGCTGAATATTTCAGGATACTTTTATTTCAAAGACTAGTTTATATTTCTTTAATGAAGACTTTTTTTTTTAAATGGGCCCCAGATTTTCTTTTTAAAATTTTTTTTTAGTTGTAGATGGACACAACGCCTTTATTTATTTATTTATTTATTTTTACGTGGTACTGGGGATAGAACCCAGTGCCTCACGCATGCTAGACGAGCACTCTACCACTGAACCACCACCCCAAGCTTTTGACCTTACTCAGAGGTTTTACCCCAGGAAAATATCTAGTAAGCTGAGCCCTCTGATATGAAACACAAAAATGTATAAAATGTAAATGCTTCTAGAGAGCAAAATCTATAATCAAAGCAGATTGTTTTATATGTGCTTTTGAAATAAAATGTGATACACTTTTTCTATTTGTTCTTTTCTAAATTAAACATTCAGCTAACATTCATATCACAAAACATTTTAAATAGGTTATGACAAAATTTAAACTATGCACTAAATTATGTTCCCTTAGGTGAAAGTATGAATAAATGAAATCTACCCAGATAAACTCAAGAGCTCATTTAAAAAAAGAGTTTCCATCTTTTTTCCTGCCAATTTCCCTACGTTTGCCCACCTTCAAATGGATGGCTCCAAGTAAGAAACTTAAAAATCAAATGCAGGATAATTACTCTTGAAAATTGGATGCAATCTGGTTATGATTTTATGTGGACATCAACACCCTCTGAATGTGTACGGACTCATGGCTCCCCCCACACAGGCCCCATTCTTAATACCATCCCACATCTCTCATACTTCATCCCACGTTTGCCATTTGGGGATTGTTGCATGCACAGGAAATATGCGATCTAAGAGAGTAAGTGTTATAGGGCGATGGCAGCTGTGACCTCTTCCTTGCACTTCTATTATCTGGACTTGATGAGAGTGGTTTGCTCTCCCACAGCCCTGTATGTTCTCATGAGCCAGGACTCTACTTGTGCCTCCTAAAGTGACTAGCTCTGGTCTTTGTCCAGAAGTCCATGATCAATGACACTGAACAAACTGACAAGAATCCAAGTTGAGCTCTGTCTTGTCCATTTCACTGATGACATCCCACTGTGGTCCAATGAGAAGAAGACTTGCTTTAGGTGCCAACAAGAATCACATCCCACAGACACAAAACTTATCAAATGCTTTGTATGGCTACTTTAGGTCAACAATAACATATTCTTCACAAAGGTCCTGAACAAACTGGATATAAATCCCTTAATAACATCTCTTTATTATAGTGTAAATATAAATACTGGAGAAATAATATTAAAAAATAAAAATGAATAGATTACTTTTTAAAGGCATTTTATACTTTTCATCTATTTCTAGAAGTTGTGTTCTAGATTTTAGTGTTACTAGCAAAGTCAGTATTATCAGTTATAATACTTTACACATTAGTGTAAATGCTAATGTAGTTAGGTAAGTAACAGTTACCTAGGAAAACCAAACTGGTGCTGTTTGTTTATTTTTTTTAAGAGATATTTCAACTAGTGTGAGAGTATGCTTTTAAAAGGTTGCTAAAGTGCAGTTAACCATTAAAAAGAGTGATTATTTATGCCTACAGAAAAGTTAAAAAGTTTAAGGGTTTAACAATCTTGTTAATATTTTCAAAGAGCCAACTATTGCTACATTATCCTTTATGCTATGTGCATGTACAAATATATCACAATGAATCCCACTTTTACGTATAATTATAATGCACCCATTGAAGGGAAACCAGGAGAGTAGAAGAAGGGGATTGGAGGGTGGGGGCAGGCAAGAGTACTTGGGCACACTGGGATTGAAATTGATGAATAACTCACAATGACTCCTACTATTGTGTATAATTATAATGTACCAATAAAAACATAAAAAAGTAAAAGCCTTGGAAAAAAACTTGGAAAACAATATGTATTTTTTTCTATGTTCCCACATAGTGAAATGGAGAATTGAAGTGAGGTACAATAGGGGGAAGAAGATGGTCCTTTTTTGTTTTTTTGTAAGTATTGGGGATTGCACACAGGGTCACTCCCTCTGCCACTGAGCCATATCCCAGCCCTTTTTATTTTTTATTTTGAGGCAGGGTCTTCCTGAGGCTGGCCTCAAACTTGCAATTCTTCTGCCTCAGTCTTCTGATGGCCACTTTTCGTTCATAGTTTCACATTATTTGAAATATTTCAATAAATATGTACTTCTTTAGTGATTCTTATTTTTATATACTGTGGTACTAGGGATGGAACCCAGGGCCTCATGTATGCTAGGTGAGTGCTCTACCACTGAGCTACAACCCCAGTCCCTTTGATAATTTTTTAAATAATCAAAATTAGAAAAATAACAATGATGATTGATAGGAGCACCTCACACCTATCCCTGTCCTCTCCCTTATCCTGAAGAGGCAAGAGCAGAGAATTGGGGAGCAGGGCTTGGAACCACACAGCCTACGTTGATACCTCAGTGTGACCATTCCTTGCTTGCGCAGCCTTGGGCACATTACTTAACCTTTCTAAGCCCTGGTTTCCACATATGTGAAACTGGAGAAATCTTAGTATCCACTTCAAAAGGTTCTTGGGAAGGGCTGGGGTTGTAGCTCAGTGGAAGAGTGCTTTCCTCACATGTGGAAGGCTCTGGGTTTGATCCTCAGCACCATATAAAAAAATAAAATAAAGGCACTGTGTCTCTCTCTCTCTCTCTATATATATATATTTAAAGTTCTTGGGAAGATAAAATGAATTAATATTTTATCTCTTTGGGTACACTCCAAAGAGTACCCAGCAAATACTTGCCCTACACGTTAGTCATGGGTTGGTTACCATGACAATGACTATCGTGACTACAATTAGGAGGTACATAGCATGAGATGAAGATTTGAATCCTGGTTCTATCACATGATAACTCTATGATTTTTGGAAAGTGACCTAACTCCGGAGGCCTCAGTTTTCTCATCTATAAACTGGGAATAACTACTAATTTCACAGGGTTACTATGGGAAGTTAATGTTGTATTGTGCAGGAATAAAGCACTAAGCACAGGGCCTGGAATTCTGCATATACTTGGTAAGTGGAAGTGATTTTTATAGTGAGAATTTATAAAAATTGAGGTTTTTCTAATTGTAGCAAAAAAAGGAAAAAAAAACAAGAAACTTCTTTCCACTGAGGCTGACTCTTCAAGCCACATGTCCCAGCTTTGTCTTAAACGTGCCAGCCCACTTAGAATACTCTTATAAATGCCACCCTATCTAAACGTTTGAAGTACAAAGTCATTTGCATTTAACTGGCATTTGTTTATAAACATATTGGCTGGAATTTTAAAGTTATAGGTAAATGTAGATAACCATGCCTATCTTATGGCTGCTGTATTCCCCCAGGAGCCCAGAGCATGGCAAGTACAAATGAGCTTTTCTTGAATGATATGAATAAATGAAACTAGGGAAAAATCTAGAAGTGGCTTTTGCTTTGTTGAGGGTAGTGAGTATTTCTGCATACAGAAGGCTCATGGGGGATATTTTGGAATTATCTTCAGATTCTGGGCAGACTTAGGCTATCGTAACTGTATTCTAGTTCTGGTTCTCCCTGCTTGACTTTAGATAATCTCCCGAAACTCATGGAGTCTATTTCTTCTTCATTAATAATTAAAACTCCTCACTGCTCCATTTGACCACCATGACAAGGAATTCCCTCTTGTTCAGCTCTGCGTCTTAGAGCACTCAGCAAGGGTCCATACTGGGAATTTAAGTTCATTTGGAACTTACTCTAAGGCTTTATAGTCACTTTAAACATGATATAGGAGGAGAAAAACCCTGACACAGCCATTGAGATAATTTATTTATTTCTATTTCTACTTCCATGGTCAAGCCCTGGAACCCAGCAATGAGTTGGAACTCAGGGCATGCCCTATTTGAGCCACATGGTTAGCACACACATGACCTTAATGCAAAATCCAGAGTGGAAACGATGAGGGAGGCACAAGCTAAAAGAGAAGCGTGAAGCCCATGTGTAAGGAAGGAAGGTTCTTGTATTCACGCATTGAGAGAGCAAAGTTTGAACAGTAAAAGGTGCCGTACTACAGAGCAGGAAAGACGGTTGGTCAGAAGGGTCAGTTTGAGGAAAGCAAATACGCACATCCAACAAGCTTCTGGAGACCTGGCAAACCCTGAGATGCTTTTTTCCACCCCACACACAATCACATATAAAAAGAGCTACCAGCTTTTCTGGAATTCACTTGGTGACTCTGGGCTGATCCTAGCAGCCCCATGAAAGGACAATCCTCTGCTGGCAGAGGCCTACCTTGCAGTGTGTGGTGCTGACAGGAAGCCCAATGTTGGAGGCGATGACCACAGTGAATGCCGAGGCCAGTTCAATGGTGAAGCCGCTGCAGGAGGGAGCACAAGAAGACATATCATAGGCGCTCTTTGTTGGCCTCACGGACACCCCGTGGGTGCAAAGTCTCACCAGAACATTCTTTGGTTGACTGCTGACTGGGACAGACTGCCATTAGCAGAACAAGAAACTGCTGCATAATGGCAACAATTCACACTAAGACTTTGCATTATACTGTTGACAGTCCCAAACAGCCTTTTTTTTCTGATATGTTTTCAAAAACCCCACACTGCAGGAACTGGGTCAGAAATTTGTGCTGTGTAATAAGATGATAAATTAGTCATTTTTCTAAAGGAGCATAAGAAAAACTATGCTTTCATTTTTTAAATGTGTGCTTATTACAAAAAAGCAATTTTTTCACAGATTATTAATGTTTCTTCAAAGCAACCTTCTAAAAGAATTTTGTTAAAATGAAGCTCAAGGGGTAAACTGAAAATCAGAAAAAAATTGCAAATGAAGAGCTCTAGTACATTTTAAAACAAGAGCAGACTTCCTGTAATAGGTAGTTGTATTCTGAAAGTTCTAAGTTTGTCAATTAACCCCTTATATATCTAGAAGCTATATGAGAGAACGACCACATGTAAAGCTCCGGACCCCCCCCCCCCCGCCCCAGAATAGCAGGGGCACATCCCATCTGGCTGAGCTAGAGGGAGGATGCCTAAGGTAACTACAGAAGGATGGTGAGTGAGAGCTGGGGTGGATGGAGAATTTTTAGGAAAGGAAGGCACTACTTTGGATCTTTTTGTTGTTGTCTTTTTAGATATATATGACAGTAGAGTGTATTTTGACACATTATACATATGTGGAATATGACTTATTCTAATTAGGATCCCATTTCTTGTGGTTGTACATGATGTGGAGTTACACTGGTTGTGTATTCATATATAAGGATAGGAAAGTTATGTCTGATTCATTCTCCTGTCTTTCCCATTCCCATCTTTCTTCCCTTCCCTTCATTCCCCTTTGTCTAATCTAATAAACTTCTAATATTTCCCTCCCTATTCTCCCTTGTTGCGGATTAGCATCAACATATCAGAGAGCACATTCGGCATTTGGTTTTTTTGGGTTGGCTTATTTCACTTAGCATCATATTCTCCAATTCCATTCATTTACTGGCAAATACCATAATTTCATTCTTCTTTATGGCTGAGTAATATTCCATTATGTATATATACCATGTCTTTTTTTTATCCATTCATCTGTTGTAGGCACCTAGATTGGTTCCATAGCTTGGCTATTATAAGTTGAACTGCTGTAAACATTGCACAAGAAGTAAAGTCAAGAATCAATATATGGGATTGTATCAAACTAAAAGGCTTTTTTTTTTTTTTTTTTTTTAGAGAGAGAGAGAGAGAATTCTTTAATATTCATTTTCTAGTTTTCGGCGGACACAACATCTTTGTTTTATATGTGGTGCTGAGGATCGAACCCGGGCTGCACGCATGCCAGGCAAGCGCGCTACCACTTGAGCCACATCCCCAGCCCCTAAAAGGCTTCTTCACAGCAAAGGAAATAATCAAGACCATGAACAGAGCACCTACAGAATGGGAGAAAATCTTTATCACCTGTACCTCAGATAGAGTACTAATCTCCAGGATATATAAAGAACTCAAAAAACTTAATACCAAAACCCCCCCCACCCCAAAAAACAAAAAAACAAAGAACCCAATCAATAAATGGGCAAAAGAACTGAACAGGCACTTCACAGAAGAAATATGAGTGGTCAAAAAATATATGAAAAAACGTTTTTTAATATCTCTAACAATTAGAGAAATGCAAATTAAAACTACACTGAGATTCCATCTCACTGGTAATTATCAAGAATGAAAGTAACAATAAATGTTGGCGAGGATGTGGGGGAAAAGGCACACTCATACATTGCTGGTGGGACTGCAAATTGGTGCAGCCAATATGGAAAGCAGTATGGAGATTCCTCAGAAAACTTGGAATGGAACCATCATCTGACCAACTTATTCCACTCCTTGGTATATACCCAAAGGACTTAAAATCAGAGTACTACACTGACACAGCAGCATCGATGTTTATACTTTGGATCCTTAATGTCTTCCACAGACCCATGCATTAAAGGCTTGATGACCAGGATAGTATATTGAGAAGTGGTAGAACTTTTGGGAGATGGGACCTAGTGGTCACTGGGGTGTGCCCTTGAAAGAGATGTTGAGACCCCAGCTTTTTCTTTCTCTGGCTTGAGAGGTGAGTGGTTTTTCTCTGCTACATGTTCCTGCCAGAGTGCTGCCTCACCACCTGTCCAAAGCAATGAGGCCAACCTATGATGGACTAGAACCTCTAAATCTGCAATCCAAAATAAATCTTTTCTAAGTTGGTTATCTCAGGTATTTGGTTTGTTTTTAGATGCTAGGGATTGAACCCAGGGTCTCATGCATGCTAGGTAAGTGCTCTCCTACTAAGCTACCTCTCCAGGTATTTTGTTATAGTGCTGAAAATCAAACAGAAAAGAAGCCTGATGTGCTCTGATGATAGCTTCCCTAGAACAGGTAGAGCTGATGTGCATAAGGAATTTTGGAGAAAGATGGGCCCAGACACTGGTGCTGTTTGCCCTACCCTTACTCTCCACTTGCTCTCAGGGTTTCACAATGGGAAAACCAACAGTGGAAGGACACTGGGGGCTGCCACAGGCTTCCCATTTTCCCTTTCCTCCTGCTCTGCTTCAGCTACTACTTCCCTCTGAACCTTTCTGACCCACATCTCAGTGACACTGTAGGTGAGTCAGGGGAGTGTGGTCACAGAGGGGGGTGACCAGTGGTGAACAAAAGTGGAAGAGGGGGTCACTCTTGTCCTTTGCCCCTTCCTCACTTGTGATCATCGATGGTGGACAAGCAGCATGGGTGCTCTCAGACACCAACTCAGGCTTGACAGCAGGCCTCAACAGCCAAGCCCTGTCAACCCAACCTGTTGGCTCACCTGGAAGGTGTGATTGGAGTGAGGTCTTTCCCCATGGTCTGGATCACTCTTCTTCCCCAAACCCAGAGACCTGTACAAATTCCAACTCCTCCATAAAACAGCAGCCAGACAGGAGTAGCTGCTTCTTGCATTACTCCACCATGTTCATAAATCAGCCACAAAGCTACCAGGGGACCAATGGCATTACTGGAAAGAAAAAGATTAATTATATATACACATGGCACACAATATACAGTGACTTCTCAGTCTCAAGAATGAGTCTTACTTTACTTGTGGCTTATCACATAGTCTAGTGGTGATAAAATATTTTTTGTATAGTCAAAAGCAGAACCTGGAATTATTGTCTTAGTCATTTTTAAGTGTAGAGTTAAATAATTTTAAGTATACTTACACTGCTGTGAAATAGGTCTCTAGAACTTTTTTTTTTTTTTTTTTTTTATCTTGCAAATGTAAAACTCTATACTCAGTAAACAGCAATCCTATGCACCTCTCCCCCTAGCGACTGGCAACTGCCACTCTGCTTTCTGGTTCTGATTTTGACCATTTCAGATGCCTCGGATGATTGGAATATAGTATTTATCTCTTTATTCAGGTTTATTTCACTTATGTCTTCAGGGTTAATTCATGATGTAGCATGTGACAGGATTTCCTTTTTTTTTAAGTCTGACTGATACTCCACTGTATTTATATACCACATTTTGTTTAGCCATTGATCCTTCACTGGATATTTATGTTGCTTCCACCTCTTGGCTATTATAAATAAGGCTGCTTTGACCATGTGTGTGCAAATTATCTCTGAAATTCTGCACTAAAGTCTTTGGGATTTGTGCTCAGAAGTAGGATTGTTAGATCAAATGGTAGTTTTATCTTTAAATTTTTGAGGAATCTCCATTCTGTTTTCCATAGTGGTTAAGCCATTTTATATTCCTACTAATAGAGCACAGAGGTTCTAATTTTTCCACATCTTTCCAACATTTCTGGTTTTTTTTGTCCCGACAGTCATCCTAATGGGTGTGTCATTTATTAACTCTTTAAAAAGTTCTGAAAAATCACAAGAAGTGGACATAATAACCAAGTTCTGTTTTTCTTCTTTTTTTCCCCCAGATTTCTTTCCATTTCCACTGCCACATCTGCTACTGCTACTAATACTAGCTCCTGGTTTGGTAGATCTGTCTGGTTCCATACGATGAAATCACAAATATTATTGCTCACCATGAATTCATGCAACCCCCCCTGCAAACTAGGCACTGTCACTTTCTTTTTCCTGATGAGGAAACCAAGGCCAAGGTCAAGTTGCTGGCACGAAGAAGGACTGAGGCATGAATTCAGGCTCACTCAGGCACTCGAACGCTTTCTTGAGACAGGCTATTGCCCCTCGGGCCTTAGGCAGCCCCGCAGAGAACTGATATGTCGTTTGTTTTTGGGTACTGGGGATTTAACCCAGGATTGCTTAACCACTGAGCCAATCCCCAGCCCTTTTAAAGAATATTTTATTTAGAGATGGGGTTTCACTGAGTTGCTTAGTGCCTTGCTCAGTTGCTGAGGTTGTCTTTGAACCTGTGATCCTCCTGCCACAGTCTCCTGAGCCACTGGGATTACAAGTGTGTGCCACCATGCCCAGCACATGTGGGATTTTTTTTTTTTTTTCCAGTTGTGAAATAATTTATTTTTTTTTTAAATTTTTTATTGTTGGCTGTTCAAAACATTACATAGTTCTTGATATATCATATTTCACAATTTGATTCAAGTGGGTTATGAGCTCCCATTTTTACCCCATATACAGATTGTAGAATCACATCAGTTACACATCCATTGATTTACATATTGCCATACTAGTGTCTGTTGTGTTCTGCTGCCTTTCCTATCCTCTACTATCCCCCCTCCCCTCCCCTCCCCTCTTCTCTCTCTGCTCCCTCTACTGACATTCGTTTGTCCCCCTTATATTATTTTTCCCCTTCCCCTCACTTCCTCTTGTATTTACTTTTGTATAACTCTGAGGGTCTCCTTCCATTTCCATGCATTTTCCCTTCTCTCTCCCTTTCCCTCCCACCTCTCATCCCTGTTTAATGTTAATCTTCTTCTCATGCTCTTCGACCCTACTCTGTTCTTAGTTACTCTCCTTATATCAAAGAAGACGTTTGGCATTTGTTTTTTAGGGATTGGCTAGCTTCACTTAGCATAATCTGCTCTAATGCCATCCATTTCCCTGTAAATTCTATGATTTTGTCATTTTTTAATGCAGAGTAATACTCCATTGTGTATAAATGCCACATTTTTTTTTATCCATTCATCCATTGAAGGGCATCTAGGTTGGTTCCACAGTCTAGCTATTGTGAATTGTGCTGCTATGAACATCGATGTAGCAGTGTCCCTGTAGCATGCTCTTTTTAGGTCTTTAGGGAATAGGGAATAGACCGAGAAGGGGAATAGCTGGGTCAAATGGTGGCTCCATTCCCAGCTTTCCAAGAAATCTCCATACTGCTTTCCAAATTGGCTGCACCAATTTGCAGTCCCACCAGCAATGTACAAGTGTACCCTTTTCCCCACATCCTCGCCAGCACTTGTTGTTGTTTGACTTCATAATGGCTGCCAATCTAACTGGAGTGAGATGGTATCTTAGGGTGGTTTTGATTTGCATTTCTCTGACTGCTAGAGATGGTGAGCATTTTTTCATGTACTTGTTGATTGATTGTATGTCCTCCTCTGAGAAGTGTCTGTTCAGATTTTAATGGCTTTGCTAGCTCTAGTTTCCTCCTGCAGTCCAGCTGTGCAGAGTATAAGCTGAGAGTCACAAAGAACTGGCTCTCAAATCTGCTTCTTTTTAGCTATGTGATCTCGGTGTCTTTGAAGGTATTGCTTACCTGGCTCAAAGAGTTGTTTTGAAAAGGATTAGAATACGTTAGAAATGGTTCAGTATTGAAGCCTATTGCAAACTTTTCTTGAATGAATAGAAGCCTCTTTCATGGTTAGTTTATTGTTTCTAGAACCTGGCTGTGATCAGGAGGCATCCTGCGCAAAGTCTCAAAACCAGAACCAAATTGCAAGCAATTGTTCCAAACTCTGGTCATCTAAAGTGCTGAATACCCGGATTCTTCCTCTGAACTTGAAATACTGTTTTGGGGTGGTTTGTTACTTTTTCATAGATATGTTTGTCTAATCTCCCTAACTAAAGCTTAATCTCCTAGAGGTGAGGAGCCCAATTCATAACACTCTGTCAGTACCAGACCTTCAATGAAGAATTCTTAAAGATGAGGAGGAGTGCAGTGGTGTGAGGGGCACACAAAAGTTAAGATAGGACATAACATGGAGCCCCAAATTAAATCACATGGAAACACCCAGAAGACACTGAACAGAGCAGAGGATGCCCAGGCTTGTCTGGCTTCAAGACTTCATTTAAAAAGAACAGAAGTGAAGTTTCGTATACATAGGCTAGGTACAGCACCCACAGAGAAGTCAATAATTGGGCAGTAAAAAAAAGTGGCAGCATGTTGTCCTAATTCAGACCAAAACATGAGCCCTGCATGTTAATGATAATAATAGGAGTGGTGACAATGGATTGGTTGCTGAGTATGTGAGGAAAACTGTCATAAGCATGATATACCAGAATCTTACATCATCCTCACGGAAACCCTACGAATTTGGAACTAATTCGACCCTATTTTACAGATTGGGAAACTGAGGCTTTGGGGAGGCATATGACTTGTCTAGGGCTACACAACTAGAAGAGAATGAAGACTCAAAGTTGAGGCCCCTAGATTCTAGCAGACTTTGCTACCTCCTCCATAGTAAAGGGGCTGAGCCAATGGAGTCTGCGCAGGAGGCCACACCTTCCCCCAGCCTGACTCCCTCTGTTGCAGGAAGAAATGCCTCCACATAATCACACTGAAAGCCATAATTTAAAGTTACACCACGTAGCTATGTAGTCTGCAAATGTAGAGTGGGGAAGGCTTCAGAGACCACAGGTGGTGCTGACCCTCCTCACAAGACGCCACTGAAGGAAAAGTGCTCAGTTACTTGATTTATCCCAGACTTTGTAGTCCAACTGTCCTTCCACCCAGAGTCCAATCTGGAAGGACTCCTGGGGACTGTTGCTGTACCAGTGACACTCCCTCGCAGCAGCCCTTCTGGGCAGCCTCCAGGGCTCTGCACAATCCCACCTAAATGCCTCCCGCTGGGATTCTGGAGCCACAGACACTGGCTGCTGCTGCTCCAGTGTGACCACAAGCCAGCAGTTCCTGAGAACAGCCTGGCTCTCATCACAGACTCTAGCCTGTGTGACATCCGCCATGCCTTTGCATGTGCTAACACTGATACCACAGTTGTCACTGGAAATAACTAAGACGGACATGTTATTGCCACTGGACTCTGGGAGCTGGTTTTTTTATTTTACAGGGGAGAAAAATCGAGGCAAGAGGGCCCAAATATATAATAACATTTCCTCCAAGTAAATGCCTGTGCCCATTTTCTGCTTTGAAAACTCCTGTTAAACCTCCCAAGCCCTGTTTCAATGCTATCTGCCTGCCTCAGTCTTCTGAGTTTCTGGGACTGCAGGTCCCACTACTGGGATCTGCACCCCGAAGATAGAAATTCTTTTCTGTGCTCTGGGGCCCTACATATTTCAGGTCTGACTTACTTGCTGACTATACAGTCTCCACTCTCTCCTCTCTCAAAGCTCTTGATCTTCCTAGAGTATCCCAAGTACTCTCTGTCTTTGGCCTTTACACTGCTGTTCCCTCTTCCAACGACATTCACCTGGCTGGCTCCCTCACCTCCTTCAGACCTGGCTCAACACACTCTTCCCTGCACACTTACCTACCACTGCAGCCCTTCACCAGCTCCCCCTTTCTATTTGATTGTTCTTTGAACCTTCGTCACTATCTAGCGCACTATGCATGTCACTCCTGTGTTTATTATTAGTGCACTCCCCCCAGTAGGAGGGATTTTTGTCTGTGTTGTCTACTGCTATATTCTGGAACCCAAGAGACCCTCAATACAGACTGATTAAACAAATGAACATTTCACTTACCTCACATCATTGCCACCATGAGCAAAGGACCCAAAACAGGCAGTGAGAACTTGCAGAAAATGGAACAGGAGATGGACCTCAGCAGTGTCCTTCTCTTCCTTTTCTTCTTCTGCAGGATCCTCTCGAGGCTGGCCAGGATCTGTCAGCTCAGATGCTAGTTTCATTTCCACACCACCCTCCTCTGCCTCGATCTCAGCTTCTGCAACTGCATTGCAATAGCTGGAGTAGCTGTCATAGCGAAGTCTCTTTTTAGAATAGGACACAGTGTCACCCACCAGCTTCTCACTATCTTCTGGGGCAGAGGACGAGTCAGTAGCTTTGAAAGTGGAGTGAACTGGCATCCCACAAATGGCTGCGGTGTAGCATGTGTAACTGTTGTTTCGTCGCAGGAGCCTGTAGTTGTTTTCCTGGGCAGGCTTCTCCTCGGGGCCCCTGTCTATGTGAATTTTGTGCAGCAAGTCTTTGTAGAGCCCCGAGTCTTTGTGTACAGTGTGATACACATGTCCGTCACTCCTCGTGTGGCCATCAAAGCCAAATGTGCCATTGGAGATTGGTGATTTTATAGAACCATGAGTCATGGAAAGGGCCCTTCCTGAAAAGGATTTTACAAAGTTTTATTTAAGACTAGAGGTGTAGCTCGGTGGTAAGAGAGCACACTTAATATGCAAAGGCTCTGGGTTCCATCCCTGGTACCAATCAAACAAAATGTTTTATTTTTTAGCATCTTGAATATAAACCATGTCTGCAAAGAAATACTCCCTACCATTTCCTGGCATTGGTCCTGGAAGGTTGGATTATACAAAATTTTAATTCTTTTCTGTTTGCTTCATTTTCTAACTATAAAGTACGGTAATAGGGTTAAAATTAAAAATATAAACAAACTTGGAAGCATATAACAAAAGGGCAGAACTAACAACATAGTATGTCAAAATGATAAGTTCTTTTAAAAAGTATCTTCCAGAAATACAGCACTCTTTTCTGCTTCTAGCTATCTATAAAGGGAGAATTCTAATATGAAATTTTAGAAGAACTTCATACATGACGCTGGGTATGGTGATGCACACTTATAATCCCAGTGACTAGGGAGGCTGAGGCAGGAGGGTCACAAGTTTGAGGACAGCCTCAGCAACTTACTAACACCCTGTCAAAAAAAGAAAGAAAAAAAAGATCTGGGGATATAGCTCAGGGGTAAAGTACCCCTGGGCCAATCCTCAGTACCTCTGTACTACAGGAAAAAAAAAATGGAAAAGGAAAAAAAAACCTTAATTATATGAGGCAAAATGCAGTTCACATTAGATAGGTAGTGTACTATGTGCTTCTTAACAGTGGGAGGCAGTATGTGTCAGATCAGCAGGACAAAATTAATTTTCCACCTTTAGAGGACTAGGAATATAGCTCAGTGGTAAAGCATATGTTCACCATGCAGGAGGCATACACAAAAACCAAAACCAATTTGTTTTCTCTGAGCTGTGCCTGAGAATAAACCCATGGAAAGCAGATGCTGGGGGCCCACCTTGCAGGAGGGGAAGTGGCTGGACAGTCTTGAGTAGTCACTGTCCATCAGGTTATAAGGCTAAAGGTTACCCCAGGTGGTCTGGGTGGTTTCTAAGGTTTCTGTGATTCTAGGTAGGACCATGTCCGTGGGTTCCAACCTTAGCCTTCACTTCTTGTCTTCCCCGAGGAAGACGTCTACAGTAGCCGAGTGAACCAGTCTTCAGCATTGGGGGAAGATTTGCGCAGGTAAGCTGAGTGAGTGCAGCACGGCCACTGGCTGCGGTGGGCCCTTGGCACCTCACAAAAGAATAATAGCTCTGGGAAGAAAATCACAGGACAGGAGAGAGCCTGCTCTGGTGCCTGGAATGGCTTCCTGAGGTCTCTTTAGCTTCTGGGTTTTCTCAAAACATAGAATTGAGGGACTAGAGATGTAGCACAGGGGTGAAGTGCAGGCTTAGTACATGAGGAGCCTTGGGTTCAACTCTAGCACCAACACTGAAACTCATGACATTGGAGAAAACTTTTGGATCTTCACGCAGGCCTGGCTGATCATCTGAGAAATGCCTTCGCACCTCTGGTAACCCCAAATTCTGCAGGCGAGTCTTACCATAGGAGGCGCGTGGGTGGTTCCCCGATGATGTGCCTTCTGAGGCCCCAGATGCTTCCCCAGATGATCCTGTTAAAGGGACGGTGCTGTCATCATTTGCCTTGACACCTGGGAGCTCTTTGAAGACAGGGGACTCAGCTTCTTGGACTTTATTGAGGCTTTCCTCAGATACTCGTGATAAAGCACCCTCTTTCTGTAATTTTCCTAGAGAAAATAGAATTATAACTACAACTTTCGGAAGAGAATTCTGTTACTGAAAAGTGAATATTAAAATGTGAATATATCTCTATGCTTTAGCACTTACTTTGGGAGAAAATAAGGTACAGCTAGCCTGAGAAAATAAAGTAAAAAGCTTAATTATCTGTAAAACTCTAGCCGGGAAATTTATCTACTAAGGAAAAAGATGAGTATTTAGGGCCTGAGTTACTACATCTAAAAACCACAAAAAAGAGAGGGTTAAATTTGATCACCCAGAGCTCTCCCAGGGACAATGTTCTGTAAATCCACAATCATCTAGACTGGCCTCCTACTTCCTTAAATTAACCTCAGAATCACTAAAATTTTCCAGTTTATCCTTTCTGTCTTCACAGATATTGTTCTAGCATTTTTTATTTTCTTCTGGTCTATGAATTACTGCTTTCAGATTTCTTTATCATACCAAATTTTATGAAACAAGAAAATATTTTTCCTTCAAAGGAATAGGAAGATCCTACTTAAAAAAAAAAAAAAATCCTTCACTTTAAAAAGAAACAAAGAAGGGGGGTGGTGGCCTATGCCTGTAGTCCCAGCTACTCAGGAGGCTGAGGCAGGAGCATGGCTTGGGTCCAGGGGTTTGTGGCCAGCCTGGACGACATAAAACGAAACAAAAAATAAACTATGAAATTTTAAGAAGTTGTTTTAAAGCTCAAAAGTATTATTTTAATCAAAACTGATACATGGTGCTGCTGCTAATAATTATCTTGAGCAAATTGCTAAGCTCTCACCTACATAAATGAAATGAAAATGAACTTTCAGTTCCTCTTCTGGACACCTTTACACATATCTGTCTCTATCATCTATCTTTCTCTCTACCTAGACAGTCAGATTATAGAGATTGATTTTTTTTTTAAATTAAATTTGTTATGCCTTACAGGGAACACATATGTAAAAATATAAAATATACATAGGACTGCAGGTGTGACTCAGGGTCATATTGAAGCTCTGGGTTTTATCCCTAGCACTGCAAAAAGAAAAAAAAAGTACATAAAGATTGCTCATCTTAAGTTGTTTATAATCTAGATGAAAGATAATATTTGTAAATATTATAACAAAAATTAACATTTATATGACAGGTATTATTATTTTTTCTCATTTTGCTAGTGAGCAAACTGAGGCACAGAGAGGTTAAATCATTGGCCCCAGCCAGCTCACACAGATAGTAAGTGGCATTTAAATTTAACATTTATTTATTTATTTAGATTTTGATTTGTTATATATGACAACAGAATGCATTACAATTCATATTACACATTTAGAGCATAATTTTTCATATCTCTGGTTGTACACAAAGTAGAGTCACATCCTTCTTGTCTTCTCACACGTACTTAGGGTAATGATGACCATTGCATTCCACCATCTTTCCTACTCCTATGCCCCCTCCCTTCCCTTTTCCCCTTTGCCCTAAGATTTAAATTCAGTCAGTAGCTCTGTGGTTCTGGTCCATGCCCTTAATCACTAATCTGTACTTAAAATACACACATAAAAATAATATTTCTTTTTTTTTTTGAAATACTGAGTACTTTTTGAAGTACTGAAATCTCAAAATATACACATTTGATTAAATAAAAACCTTGTAGAAAGCTAGCATGGGAATAGTATCAATTTCCTATTGTGACATTACAGCCCAAACCTGGAAAGCAAAGATTTTAATGTCTTGACATTAAGGTTTAGTTATCAGGAAAATTATTTAAAAATCAAAGCATTTATGTACATTTCATGACTCCAACAGATTAAACCAGGCAAATAGCATGAGTAAGAATGGCTCATCTCAGGATAGTTGTCTGTGTGAATGCAGAAGGGAATGTTTATTCTCAAGATAGGACAGGGCAGGAAGCAGCTCCATGGGAATAAGAAGCTGGGTTTTAATTAATTAATGATATGGTTTCACTAATTAGTTTGATGTTGCATGCATTAATGTGAATTTTAAAAATTATTAGTTTTTAAATTTACATGCACTAATCTGATTATGTGTCTGTATAAATCTGACTTTTAAAACAAACATAGAACTGTGTATGTAGTGGTGATTACCAGAACATGGAAAGTTCCACTGTCCCCAAAACTCTGTAGTCAGACCCTCTGCCCCATCGTAACGATGACAACCAGTGATCCGGTCTCTGACCTGACACTTTTGCTTTCTTCAGAAAGTCATCTAAATAAAATCATGACATGTCATTTTTTGAGACTGGCTCCTTTTTACTCAGCATAATGCCTTTCGATTCACCCATAAATTGACAGTTTGTTCCTTTCAAATGTTGAGAGTAGGATTCCAATGTGTGGGGGCACCAAGATTTATTAATTCATTCTGTGGATATTCTGGATTGTTTCCAGCTTTTGGTGATATAAATAAAGGTGCTGTGAACAGTTTTTTTGTGTGAACTTAAGTTTTCATTTCTCTGGGAAATTACTCAGGAGTGGTATTTATGGTAAATATATTTTTAACTTTGTAAAAACACTGCCCAATTGTCTTCCTGTGCCATTTTACATTCCCACCAGGAATATATGAGAGTTCCAGCTGTTCTTCTTCCTCATCAGTGTTTAGCATTGTCAGTTTTTTTTTTTTTTTTTAATGCCATTCAAATAGGAGTGTAGTGATATCTCATGGTTATTTCATTTCCCTGATGGTTAATGATGCTGAACACCTTGTCAGGGGCTTATTTGCAATTCATCTCTCTTCTCTGGTGAAGTGCCTACTCAAATATTTAGCTGTTTTAACTCAGTTATTTGTTTTCTGAAATTTCTTTATATATTATGAATACAAGAAACTTCTCTTAATAGTACTTCTAAGAAAAGAATAGTTTCTCATCTTGGTAAAGTGTAATTTATCAATTTCTTCTTACATGGATCATGTTTTAGGGGTCATATGTTAACCCTTGCTTAACCCAATATCACAAAAGTTTTTCCTTCTGTTTTTCTCCAACCAAAGTCTTGTTTTTTTATTTTCCATTTATATATACAGTGCTTTTTGAGTTAATTTTTTTTTGAGAGAGAGAATGTTTTAATATTTATTTTTTAGTTTTCGGTGGACACATCTTTATTTTATTTTTATGTGGTGCTGAGGATTGAACCCAGCGCCCCGTGCATGACAGGCAAGCACGCTACCGCTTGAGCCATATCCCCAGCCCTTAATTTTTATAAGGTTTAAGATTTAGGGTAAAGTTCTTATTTTGGCATATGGATATTTGACAGTTCCAATACCATTTGTTGAAAAGATTATCCCTTCTCCCTGACTGATTTTCTAGGCATATTTTTCCTTTGAATCTTTGTGAAGAACTCATTTGCCAAATTTGTGTGGGTCTATTTCTGTATTGTATTCTGTTCCATTAATTTACATGTCTATCTCTTCATAAATCACACTGTCATGTAGCTTTACAGTAAGTCTTTTTTTTTCTTCTTTTCGTTTCTTTCCAGTAATGGGGTGTAGCTCACCACTGAGCTCCTATAGCCTACGGGACTACAGGACAATAAGTCCTATAGTCAGTTAGTAGGAATCCTCCAACTTTATTCTAATTTTTCAGAAATTATTTTGGCTATTCTAGTTTCTTTGAACTTATATATAAATATTAAAAGTAGCTTGTCTAGATCAACAAAACATCCTCCTGGGATTTTTATTTTAATTATTTCAGTCTGTAGATCAATCTGAGAAGAACCAACATCTTTGCTGTACTGACTCTTGCATATTATCTAGTTTTTTTTGAAACATGGATTTTCAAATTCAGATATGCCCATATTGAAACATGACTGTAAGGCACATTCTAGGAATAAATTTAAATATTTCTCTCTCTTTTTGTGAGCCCCATAAAAGCATGTGGCTTCAAGGTTTGAAATTCAACTATGTTGCTGGTAATAATAGCAAAATACCCTGACTGATTTTCTAGGCATATTTTATCTCCTTCCTTCCTTCCTTTGCTTGTGGTGCTGGGGACCAAACCCAGCCATTGAGTCACATAACCAGCCTAACCACAGTTTAGGTAGTTCTTCTTTTAGTTTTTTGTTTTTTGACTGGGGATGAACCCTGTGGTGTTTTTACATTGAGCTGCATCTCTTGCTTTTTTTTATTTTTTATTTTGAGGCAGGATCTTGCTAAATTGCTTAGGGCCTCACTAAGTTGCTAAGGCTGGCCTCGAACTTGTGAGCTTCCTGCCTCAGTCTCCAGAGTCTCTGGGATAACTATGCCCAGATTAAAACTGTTTTTTTTTTTTTAGGTATAATTTACATATGATAAAATCCAGATTGACTATCTATCTAATTAACTATTTTGGGGACCAAGGATTGAACCCAGGGGCCTTTATCAACTGAGCCACATCCCCAGCCCTTTTTGAGACAGGTTTCACTACATTGTTTAGGGCCTCATTAAGTTGCTGAGACTGGCTTTGAACTTGCAATCCTCCTGCCTCAGTCTCTCCAGTCACTAGGATTACAGGTATGTGCCAATGCACCTAGCAAAATCCAGATATTTTAAATGGTGGATAATCTGTAACAAATCAGCATATTCTATGACCATTTCCCCAATTAAAACATGAATAAATATTCCCATGTTCCTGAAAAGTTCCTTTGTGTCCCTTTAAATCATTTCCAAACTCCCAGGCAACTGGTGATTTCTTCATTTTCACTTAGTTTTCACTATACTTGAATTTTAAGGAAACATCCATAAAATTTCTTAAGGTAAACTTACAGAGAGTTTATGAAACATGGAGTCATATGGCATATGCATTCTTTTGTATCTGGCTTCTTTTGTTCAATATAACATCTATGAAATTCCTTATATGGTGTTCAATTCTCCTTATTGCTAAGTAGTCTTCTATTATACAAATATATACACCACTTACCTGCTGGTGAACACTGGATTGTTTCCATTTTGGGGCTATTATGACTAAAAGATTTGTATGTAGATGTAGTATGTCTTTTTATGAACGTACATCTTTATTTCTCTTGGATAACTACTTAGGAGTGAAACTTCTGTGTCATATGGTAAGTATATGGTTACCTTTATAAAACAACTGCTAAGCTAATTTTCAAAGTGGTTGAATTCCTTTACATTTCGCCATAAGTGTATGAGAATTGCAGTTATTTCATTTCCTCACCAACACTTGGAATTTCCACCAACACTTGGAATTACTTGTTTGTTTCAAATTTTTACTGATTCTTGTGGGTTGGAAGTAATATCTCCTGTGTTATTAATTTGCATCTCCCTGAAGGGTATTGATTTTCATCAGGCTGATAGAACTTGGATGCATAGTTTATTTCCTGTTACTAATGGCAATGAGAGCCCCTGCTCACCTGAGTCACAAGTTACTAAGAAAAAGTTTAAGCCAGAAATTAGTCAGGAGCCAAGAGCCACGAGACTGGGCTTGTATCCCAATGTATGTTCTGGAGTTAACTGTACTTCCATTTCCTCCATTTGTGAGGATACTTGTTTGTTACATGGGAAATCACAGGAATTGGGAGAAATTTTTGTAATTCCAAAGAAATAAAAAAGTGCTTACCTGCTATTTTCCTCCGCATCCATGGACACACAAAGAGCCATACAAAAAGAGCGAAGAGTAGAGCAACACCAAAGGAAATGAGTGCTATTGCCCAGATGGGAAGAACCAGACCTAGCACTGGGAAATAAAAATGAAGAGCAATGTTGTCATTGTTCAAGTCTCATCTGTCATTGTGTTTTCCATTCCCTCAATCTTAAATGAATCAACTGGACTGTGTATTTAATAAAACTCTCAACCAAACCAAACCAAACATACTGTATTCTTGGGCATAGAAAGCCATATTTTTAAAGACACTATACTTTGTAAATATGTACTTTAACCTGTCAATAAATTGATTACTAAAATATCACCAATTTGGCACAATCAGCATATTAAGTTGGGAATAAAGCCATTAATTGCATGTTATGTCACTATCTAAATTTCTGGGTGGATAAATGTGACTAAGAAGGAGTCATCTGCCTTCCATCCTGACAGGCAGCCCATTTCTACCAGCGGGAAGAAGCTGAAATGTGGATGATGCACGGCTCTGGGGTTGCTACCTTTTTGGTTCTTTATTAGTCAGCAGCCCTGCTTTAATGCACATGGCATTCTGACTACATATACGACCCTTTTTAACAAATCAGCTTAGAAATAAAAGTTGTTCAAAGGACATTGACTTTCAAGCGTAACTATGGAATTATAACAGAAAAACTTTCCATTGAAGTCTAGCAATGCACTTTGAGCAGTAATTATATTAATCAGTAAGAGGGAGGAAGTGAACGTGGTTTAGGAACGTCATCTTTCCATAGTGCTGTTTTGTGTTCAGAGCTCATCACTCTGATTTTGTCCATTTTCTCTCAGACACATTCATGAAGTATACAACTTAAGCATGCTCACCCATGAACACACACACACACATATATATAGACCTACTATAGTTTTACTTGTAATGGTAAGAATTTGCATTAGTTAATATATGCATCATCATGGAAATGTAAAATAATCACAGTACACAGTCATAAAAATAAGGCAGGCTGAGGTACACTGACAAGGAAAGAGGCCCAGGTGATAGAAGTCAGCTATATAATATATGTGCAGTTGTGACTCAATTTATGTTTAAAACAGAAAAAAAAAAAACCCCAATTCCTAACTCCTGACATATATGCTAACACACAGAAAAAGTTCTGGAAAGATGCAATGGTTTCTTCTATGGAGAAATGGGAAATTGGTGTGGGGCTTTAACTTCTTGATACATGTACTTTTATACTGGCAACTTCCAAAATCCACAATAAGAATGTCACTTTGTAGTTTTTAAAACATTTTAAATTAATGACCTATTTAAAACTTAGCTCTTAAATAAGTAAATTTTTTTTAATGATGCAGGCTTTGTTACCTTGTTCACTATTTTATATAAATAAACCAGCTCCACGCTGCTCAATCATTATTAAATATTTTGATAACTGTAAGAGGTTACAGAATGGGTAGCCAATAATATCAGGGGGAAGTTATATTAATGTGTATAAATGTTTTAGAAAAACAACAGAGTTACCTAGTCTTTTTACAGCTAGAGTGCCACTGGTAGAAATGTTGGCACTTAGACTACTCCATTCTAAAACTCCAGGTGACATCAGACAGCTATGGACTCAGCACCATCCTCAGGCTGCACTGTTTTAAGTGGCAGCTGGTTCCACTCCAGCTCTGCCCGTGAACCTGAAGCCCAGGGCTGCTCATAAAACCACAGGAGCTGACTCCACTGGGCTCTATTTCTGGCCATGGCTTCCTGGCTTCTGTTTTATATCTGCAAGTCACTGTCTTCACACTGTAACAAAGGATCACTCCACAGCTATTTCTTGCCCAAGTGAGCGGTAACTGTTCATTTACCAAAGTCAAACTGATAAACTAACAGCAAACCTACATTCTTACAGCTTTAAAGCATTTGGATTTGGAAGAGGTTTTCTCTTCTGTGGTTTAGTTGATGATAAAACTGTCAAGTGTGTTACTTTTGGCTTCACTGCCTTAGCCTGGTCTAAGAGAGGGAAATCATACATATTGTGGGGGAAAGACTAACAATTTGAGTTACTTGATTTTTTTTGGTGAGTGAACACTTTTGCTATCAGGCCCTATTTTTTTTTTTTATTCTCTACTTATCTCCCCAAAGTAGAGAAGGCTGCTTCCTGTGCTTCTTCAAGCCCATCTCTACACTTCCCATTAGGGACATGTGAGGTCCTAAATGGTGACAAGGCCAAAAGGGGAAACTGAGGTCAATTTCAAGACTTTGATCCTTTGCTTAAACACTAAGACACTGTATCACTTGAGTTTGTACCTCTGTATCATTACATCTGCCTTGCTATCCATTTGACCTGGGCCAGAAACTTCTGAGGTTACCCTCCTGGTCATGAAAATCTAGAATGGAAAGCAGGGTATAGACATAGTCTATCTGAGTGTGGGAGAGGTGGGGAGACAAAGTAAACAAATCCAAGAAAACAGGGGAAAAATTGTTCACAGTAAGAAAGGAGAAAGGAACCAAATGGGGATGGAGATCTTACCAAATTGTTCCAAGAATTTAGCAATTTAAGAGAGGATTGAAAGAAACAAGCCATTACTCTTAAAGCCTGCATGTAAGAAATGTAAGCTGATAGCTATTTATGTTATACATCCGCACTCTACACTACACATATAAAATTGAGTTTCATGGATTATTAAAAAAACAGGGGGCTGGGGCTGTGGCTCAGTGGTAATGCACTTTCCTGGCATGTGAGAGGCACTGGTTTCGATTCTCAGCATCACATAGAAATAAATAAAAAATAAAGATCTATCAACAACTAAAAAAATAAAAAAAAATTAAAAAACTGAAAAAAATAAAAAAAAACAATTCTGCATAAAAGTTCATTATAGAAAAACACCCAAATCAATGTACACCCAAGGCAAAACTTTTTCTCTTCTAACTACTTAAGGTTAAGTTATATACTACAAAATCTGCAACAAAAACACTCTGTATTGGATTGTCTTCCTGGTGAGGGTCTCATATTGTTTCCAAATAATTACACCTTCAGAGGGCAATGAGGCATGGCACGTTGATTCCCTCTGCGGATAGACAAAGTAGGGCACAGCTTGAATTGCTCGTGTTCGCTCAGCCAAAAGTGGCTGCCAGGAGCCAGAGCTGGGAGCTCTGAATCTCTGTTCTCCACTTTAGCCACTAAATGGCCTTTCATCTCCGGTGCCTCTCATTTTCTGAACAAAAAAGATATGACAAATAGTGATTTAGCTCTAACCTCAAGCATCTTTACAATTCCAATCCAAATCCACAAAATATCAGAAGATTCAAATCATTTAGGGAAGATGTAGAACATTTTATAAAAACTCCCTCTCCATTGTTATTCCTCTGCTATACCTCCTGTTTTTCCACATACAGAATCATTAAAGAATCTATAAAATAACAAAATCATATGAAACCAAAAGGCTGCAGTTCATATCAGTCCCCTTCTATCCCTCCTTACCATCTCTTCCCTACAGCCTTCCTTCTTATTAACTGCACAGATTTTGCCTTTGGTTTTAACTTTTATATAATACATGCTTAATACAAAATATCCTCAGTGTCTACCAAATTGTATGATGTACAATATGAAATTCCCCTATTACCCTCCCCTTTGCCTCCATTTCTTCCTACAGAAACTGGGACTATTTGGTACATGTCTTTTCAGGCATTTTCTAGATACATATAAACACACTTTACTGTGTTCGTGAGGATTTCTTTTTTCATTTTTTAAAAAAATTTAAAAGTAACAGGATTATTCAATATATACTATTCTATGCTTTCATTTCCTAGATGGTTCTATGTTGTGGCCATCTTTCCACAGTAACACACACAGGTATGCATAAACACAGGCTGACCTGCTTTGCACTATCACTCTTTCTTATCCTGCCTTTCCTGATAAACTGAAGTTACCAGTTTTGTTTTGTTTTTAATCAACATTTCAAAGCACTACTTTTACCTTTGTAAAAAGAATCCTAGAACAACTTTTTTAAAAACATTTTTTAGTTGTAGATGTACACAATATCTTTATTTTTATTTATTTATTTTTAATGTGGAGCTGAGGATTGAACCCAGGGCCTCACACATGCAAGGCAAGCACTCTACCACTGAGCTACAACCCTAGCCCCCTAGAACAACTTTTTAAAGACAATTAAGCACACTTTTGAAATAAAACATGCTATTTCCTAATTTGCTCTATCGTTGGGATTTTAAAATATGGTACCAGCTTTCTCAAACCAGGGGTCATTTGTAATAATTCTCGAAAGGAAGTGAATTTAAATCCTTAACTTTTGAATCCATCCCTTGGTGGTAACTGGAAACTTTTCTCACTCTAGTGCTTTCCTGAACCAGGACTAGGAATTACTGCAGTTCCAATTCCTGCCTCTCCACAGTTTGCACTTTACAATCACAACTTGGAATACAGAGACCCATGGAGAACAAAGCTCCTTCTTACAAAGACAACTAGGGGCCTCAGGGTTGTTGATGTTCTGATTTCCTTGGGACTAGACCAGAAGGAAGAGGAGGAGGGGAGAAAGAAGCAAAGGAGATGGCAGTGGAGAAGAGGAAGAAAAAGAAAAAAGGAGGAAGGGATAGAGGAGAAAAAGGAGAAAGAAGGGGATGGAGATGGAAGAGGAAATGGAAGGAGGGGCAGTGGCAGAGGCAGCCACACCTCAGGTATAGGCTTGCTCTGGGGAAGCCAGAAACCAGGCTTGGTTATGTATGAGAATTCATTTGCTGACTAAAAAGGAGGGTAAGGGAAGATTGCTGTTAGAACTTTAAAGAACCCTCATTATCTAAGAACTGTAATAAGGTAGCACTGTTCGTGGTCCAAGAGGTAATTAGTGCTGTGGTTCTCCAACTGTAAATGCATCAGCATCACTGGAGGGCTCCCTGCTGAAACATGTGTCGTTGGGCTGAAGTACTTGCAGTTCTGTATCAGGGCTGGGCCAGAGTAGTTCTGACATGTCACCAAGTGCTGCTGATGTGGCTGGTCTAGGAACCTCACTTTGACTTAGAAGTCATATGTAACTACCAGGGCTTAATGAGGTGATCTGCTTTGTCTACTCAAAGAGGCATGCAATGAATTTCAGCATGAACTGTCTAAACATTGAACAAAAACCAGGTGCCACACAACTAAAGACTTTTTTCAATTAAAAACGTCATGCTTGAATCCAATCCAAGTAAGCACTTCATTTCCTAAAGTTATTTTTGGTTCTTCCTAATCATTTTTTTAAAGAACAAAAATGCAAAGGCAATTTTTTAAAAGTATACACTCAGTCTCTGAAGTGTAAGAATGACTTTTATTTGAGATAAGTCATGTCAGATGCAAAGTAAAACAAATCAAACTAAGCCGAAGATATAAACAACTTAATAATTTAGAGTGGAGGAACAGAGGAAATCAAAACAAAACACTATAACTCAACATCCAACAAATCCCCATTTGATTCATCTCCATGAATACAAATGCTATTTTTCAAAATCTCTTAATGGTAAAACTGGGTAAGATTAATGCTGTCACTCATTTTTCTTAAGAGAATTTAATTCTTTTATCTCTGATGCTTCTGTGTATTATGTGAAACTAAGAAAGAAAGAGAACCAAGAGGAATAAATTCTAGAAGGGCAGATGTATGTTGAGAGGAATGGATCAACTCAGTCACTGTTAAAATGACTCTCTGCTCAAGCTTATTACCAAGTATGTCGTCATGGCTACTTATGATACAGCTGGACAAGTTGAGATCCCGCAAATGAGGGAGGAGTATGTAATTAAAGTCTAGTTTGAAGGGTAAATAATAACCTTCAGTGCTTAAATAAAAATAAGATTTGGCCCACCTATTGGATATTCTAGGAACATTCCCCAGGGACCAAAATATTAGCAAAGTTCTTTTATGACTTAATGGACGAACAAAATGATTGGTCCTTCAGGGTCATAAACTTCTCCTTTCTCCTCCAGGTAACATCCCCTCTATCCAGCAACCCTGGAAAACTTCAGGTAAAATGTTCCACAAATATATCCAGGAAAAACAGAAAATAGGATGACTCAGGATTTGCTGTTAACAATTGAGAAAATGAGGCTAATAATGACTGATGGTAATAAAAGAGTCTCTAACATGATTAAAAGTGAGTTATGCATTAGGTGCCATGCTACATGCCCTGCCCACATTATCTCAGGAACCACAGTGTCCCTTTAATGGAGCTACTACTACTGTCCCTACTTTACAATAAGGAATGGGACTTAGGGAGTTGAGATGTTACGTTCCTTATAGAACAGCTGCCTATCCCATACATGTACCAGGAACTTTACGACTGGGAATATTGTCTGTATTTCAATTGAATGATAATCTTCAACATCATTTTTAGATTTTTAAAATATTTCTAATTAAGGAGGTGGCAACCTTCTTCACAATAACGGGTATATAAAGTATATAAAAAATTTATATACCCAGGTCCTTAAATATATTGGAAGGCATGTTTTCAAGAGAGTTAAGAGGAAGAATTTGCTAAGGTTGATGCAATTTTTATTGTCATTATCAGTAATGCTATACATACTTATAAGTACTTTCCTTCAGCTATCTCATGTATCTACATAATGTCACAACAAAGACCATAGGGTTCAAGACTAGTCTTGTTCAAATTCTGGTCCTGCATCTTACTAGTTATATGATCTAGCGAATACAGCATTGCTGTGCCTCTCACAGGTGGGGCTGGCAACATCAACAATCCTCTAGAGGAGCTGAGAGGACTGGAAGGATTAATTCATGTAAAACTCAACTCAATGCATTTATGTTATCTATTTCTCACAATAACCCTGTGAAGTATGTGTATTGTCTTTTGTGTCTCATCCATCATATAGTTTAATTTTCCATAGATTAGTTTACTCTCTCAGTAAGATGTTTCTTTTAGCAAATGTACAAATAAAAATGTAAAATAGTAGGGGAAAATAAAAAAAAATTAAAGACAGTATATATAAAGTATATATTAAGCCAAAATTTAGAAGGAATCACACATTTGTATTCTGACATTTGAAAAAAACAACAGGAAGCAACAATAGAGAGTGAAAAAACATACAGAAACAAAATGAAAAAAATGTGAGTGTGTAACCGATGTGATTCTGCAATTTGTATTTGGGGTAAAAATGGGAGTTCATAACCCAATTGAGTCAAATGTATGAAAGATGATATATCATGAGCTTTGTAATGTTTTGAACAACCAACAAAAAAAAACTGAAAAAAAGAAAAAAAAAAAAGAAACAAAATGAAATTATCTTATTTATACCAATTCTCATTTCCAGGACTTGGTGTTACAAAAGGCATCCTCAACTTTTATTAGCTCAGTCTCTCTCCTTTCTCTCTCTTTTTTGTGTGTCTGTTGGGAACCCCCCCACACATGGGCTCTCTGTGCCCCATGCACAGAGAGCTGCTTTGCTTTTTGTTCAGCTATTCGAGCTCTAAGAGCCTTCATGAAATTAAGAACAAGGACTCATGGGCAAGATTACAAAGATGTCTCTTTGCCACATGTTACTTCCAGTATGGCATTCCTGAGCCTTCCAGGCACCTAGAAAGCACACACTTGGTAGAAGGGTTTAACTCCAGCATATGGAACTGCCTTTTCTTTGCCTCTGATTTTCTTTTTAATTTAATCATGGGACACTTTGGAAAGTCTGTGGCAAACAATGTTCATAGTCCATGAATGATAACACCTGAAGAGATAGCAGGCTACTGTGATTGAGGTGAGGATTTCACCTGTGTCCTTACTCTCATCTTCAGCTTTGTGCTTTTGGTGTAACTTAAAGTAGCTATGATGCCTCCCTCTCCCTTGCTGAAGTCACCCAGAGTCTGAAGTCTCAATAATGTTAAGTATCAAATCTTTAAGATCAATGTTTTTGAATGCGACAGAGATGGCAAAGTAAAAGGTTATAAAATGTTAAGAATCATTTTAAAACAATTTTTGAAAATTTTTCAGTACTGAAGTAAACAAAATATAATTTCATAAAATAAAATCAGGGAAAATTACATCAAGAAAACCTAATTTGAGAAACTTGTGAGGCATTCCCCTCATTTTGGAAGATGGCACTTTTCAGTTATAGCACAATGTGCCATTTAACAGAAATTTTATCTTCTGAGTAGAGGAGACTTTTCTGTCAGATGTAGCCAAAAACTAAATCATATCCATGACATTAAGAAGATGAAATATGATGTAAATTCACATATATATTGACTTCATATATCCCCACAAAATTGTGTGTATTCAGAATCTGGTTGAGACACATCTCATAAAAAGAAACAGAGGGTGAATTCTCTTTACCAAATATGTACAGAGATTTTTTTCTTTCTTATCCCAGTTGGGGTCTTGGGGGTCTCGCTGCATTGCCCAGGGTGGCCTAGAATGCATGGGCTCAAATGATCCTCTTGCCCCAGTCTTCTAAGTAACTAGGACTACCAGTACATCACTGCACCCAGCATATACAGAAACATTTAATAGGACATTACCCATTCATCAACATTGAAATGTGTGCACATTAGAATATTCTACATGAGTTTCTTTCTTTTACTATTCAGAATGTAAAAGAAAAGAATTTTTAACTGTTCCCTTCCCCCCAAACTCCAAACCAAAAAGAGTAATTCTGAAGAGAAAATCATCACTGGTTTCAGTATTGGCTTGTATTGGTTAGACTAATTAAGCTGACAATTTCCAGGTTGTTCCACATCTGCATCTATGGACTGCTTCTGCCACTGCACTGTGGATGGCTGGGTGGCTACTACTCACCACGCGCCTGTGTAGCACTAGGATTTCCACCTCCCTTCCCTGACCCTTCACTGCTCAGTAGTTATGTGCTATCAGATCAGGTTCTGAGACTCAGAGAAGTTCAGTAAGCTGCTCTGAACTTTCATTTACCCACAGTTGGGTAAATGGCAGAATGGGGATTTATTTATTTACTTTTTAAAAATTTAAACTGGAAAGCCTGTTGCCTTTGTAGTTCATGCATCCCTTAGGTATTTAGAACAGTAAATGCATTTACTGCTCTTTTCACTACTCCAAAATGACCATCAATAATGTCAGCCAGCAATAATGAAACACCAAATAAATCAACATTGTTAGAAATAGAATGCACCTTGACGGCTGGATCTAAGTTTCCAGAGAATTCTTACCTGGTGCTCCTGTGTACATGATGGAAAAGACATTTATTGCTATAGTAGCAGCATAGAACAGTGGAAGTGCCCGGAGGCCATTGGGAACAGGGTCCTCCTGTGGAATAATGAGATAAAGTGGGAGGTCAGGACTCCAGAGCTTCTGGAGGCAACACCAGAAAAATGACACAAGACAATGTTACAAGAAAGTACCCTAAACCCCACTGTGGCCAAAAAGGCTGGTGTGTTACTACATGTGTTCCACTGCACATCCACAGGAATGGCATCAGCTGGGGCCATCTCTTCTACACAAATGCCCACTATTGTGGCCAGCAGACACATTAAAGCACTACAGTCACATGAGCTGATGTCAGATTTAGAAACAGAAAAGAACTGTTGAGGGAGGTCAGTGCCTGGGGAACCAAAGCCCAGAGCTCAGCAACTACTTCTCTGAAACCTATGGAGCTTTGCCCCTAAAAGTCTACATTTGATAAATATTTTGAGACTCTAACACCTCTTTAAGTCAAATGACTTATGGATTATTGTATTACTATTAGATTTTACATGACTTTATAACACCAGTACTTTTCCAAAATCTTTTCATAAGGTATAATATTTAACCTTCAACTATCAAAAGTAAAAAGAATTGTGGCTCTTTGTCTAATAAAACATTTATTTAAAACTTTAGCTTTCTGTTATGACATTCCCTCAATTTAATACATCAACAAGAATGGTATCACACATGTTTGAGGTTAAATCATATCTCAGAAACTACTATAAATTTAGTTTTAAGCAGATCTACAGAGGATTTTGAAGCAATAATATGGCCAAGAACTCCACAACACAGCATTGGCACACAGGTATTGCTTAATTATTTCAAAAAGAAACTGATTTCTAATAACCACATGAGATGTTCTTGCATATTTATATAAGTATTCCATCTACCAAGATAAAAAGAAAGTTAAGTCTAAAAATTGAAATGTGCTATCAAGATATGAATAAATAGAGGCTCTCTTAGAGATGCCAACGACAAAATGCAAACACGTATGGAAATCAAGCATGTTTGAGAAACAGTACAACTCATTAAGGACCTATTCTGGGATGGCTCAAGTAGCCTTCAGCACTTGTCAAGAGGCTTGTGTTGACTGGCAGTGAGACTTCAGGCATGTAAGAGCAGGGGCAGGCAGAAAGTGATGCAATTGCTGGAGAGCGCTACAGCCAGTTTAGGCAGGGATGGGCACAAGAGACGTGAATGCTAAGACAAATGGGTTGGAACAAGGGGTGAGAGAGAGACAGCCAGCATTCCAACCTGTGAGGTGACACATGAAAAGAATGCAGATTGGACTAAACACAAACACAAAACACTGGGGTGCTCAGATGCTGACTGTATCTGGTTTCCAAAGCATTATTTTCTTAGGAATAATAGCTGTCTATAGAAAGACTACAGATCAACAACCTGGAAAGGTGGAAAGTCCCAAGTCTGAGGTGTTTTTTTTGGTTGTTTTTTTTTTTTTTTTTTTTTTTTGAGAGAGAGAGAGAGAGAGAGAAATTTTTTAATATTTATTTTTTAGTTTTCGGCGGAGACAACATCTTTGTTTGTATGTGGTGCTGAGGATCGAACCTGGGCCGCACGCATGGCAGGTGAGCACACTACCGCTTGAGCCATATCCCCAGCCCAAGTCTGAGTTTTTTAACTGAATCACTTCATGTTTTCCCAAATAACCTACTCTCTATTTTTTTTCAGTGCTGGGGATGGAACAGAGGGCCCCACTCATGCTAGGCAAGTACTCTACCACTGAGCTATAGCCCCAGCTCCAAAAACCTACTCTTAAAATTCAAATGACAAATGTCTCATTAGACCTGTCTCATTTCTTCCCTTTCCCTTTCTCTTTCTCTCTCCCTCCCTCTCTCCCTTTCATCTATCTACTCATCATCTCTCCCTACCCCTGCCAACCAAGCATCTATCTCATCCATATTTGGTGTTGTGGGAAGAAGACTAAGAAGTAACCAACCAGAAGCTGGTGTAGGAGAGGCTTCCTAGGAAGTGTCACCTGAAGGTTGAGTAGGAGTTTGCCAGGCAAGGATGGATTCCAGGCAGAGGAAATAAAAAGGGTGAAGGCTGGCAGGCAAGACAGACTAGCACCTTCCAAGATGTAAACAAATATTAGAGTAGCTGCTCCAAGCCCAGGAAAAGGAATGGTGAGAAATGATAATGGCAAGTTTGTACTTATTTAAGAGAATGAGCTCTTTAATACACCACTAGAAAATGCTAAAAGAAAAGAGCTGTATTTTCAAACAATATATAGCTGAAAAAAGGCATGTCCTTGATATGCTGGGATGGCTCAAGCATAAGAGTATGCTATGGGTGTCCTCCCTGGTCCCCATAGAATATGTTCCAAGATCCTCAGTAGAGGCCTGAAACTGAGGGCGGTACCCAATCCCCATGTACTGTTTTTCCTGTACATACATACCTGTAATAGAGTTCAACTTATAAATAAGGCAAGTAAGATTAACAATAATAACTACTAATAAAATAGAACAATCACAAAAATTCAATGAAAACTTATACGAATGTGCTCTCTCAAAATATTTATTATACTCATCCTGTGATGATGTGAGATAATATAATGCTTACATAATGAGATGGAGTGAGGTGAATGATGTAGGCATGGTGACATAGCATTAGGTTTGTACCTAAGAGTTACTTGAATACAAGCATTATGATACTGCCACAATAGAACTGATCACTGAAATGGCTAAATGACTAGTGGGCAGGTAATATACACAGAATGGATATACTAGAAAAAGGATGATTCACATCCTAGCTAAAATGGGAGCAGGGTGGTGGGAAATTTTATCACAATACTCAAATTGGCATGCAATGTAAAGCTTCTGAATTATTTATTTTGGGAATTTTCCAATTAATATTTTCAGACAATGGTTGGTCATGGGTAGCTAAAACAATAGAAAGCAAAACTATAAAAAAAGGAAGACTACAGTGCAACACAAAAAGGTGCTTTATTGCTTACAAAAACATTGTAACGATTCAACCAAGATGTCCAAGAAGAGATGAGCAGTTTTTTAAAAATGTGTCTCTTCCACAAAATAGAAGATATCTAGCCATAAAAAGGATGAAATCCTGTCATTTGTGGTTATTATGGATGGAACTGAAGGATGTTATGTTAAGTGAAATAAGCCAGGCACAGAAAAAAAAAAAAAAAAACATTGTAAGTTCTTACTCATTTGTGGAAGCTGTGAGAGTTAATAACCAAACTAGAAAGTAGAATGGAGGCCACCAGAGGGCAGGAAGGAGGCAGGAAGGAGGAATAGAGATGGTGGATAATGAGTACCAAAATATAGTTCAATGGGGGAAGTAACTTGCTATAGTTTGGATACTGAATAGCTCCTAAAGGCCCATGTGTTTGGTCCCCAGCACATGGCACTAATGGGAGGTGATGGAACTTTCAGGAGGTGGAGCCTAGAGGAAGAATTTAGGTCAGTGGGGGTATGCATCTAAAGGGAATATTAGGACCCTGGTCCTTATTCTTCCTCTCTTTTTGCTTCCCCAATCACAATAGAGTGAATAGGTTTCATTCATTGTGCTCCCTGCCATGATGCACTGGGTCTTCATGGGCCCAAAGCAACAGGATCAAGTGACAATGGACTCAAACCTCTGAAACTATGAGCCAAAATAAACCTTTCCTCCCTATAAGTTGTTTATCTCAGGTACTTTGTCACAGTGACAGCTGACTAACATATAATTCTAATGTTATATAGCACAAAAGGTTAATATAGTCTATATCAATTCATTTTATACATTTCAAAATAACTAGAGGAGAATAGTTTGAAGGTCCCCAATACATAGAAATAATAAAATGTGAGGACATGGAAATGCTAATTTTTCTGATTTGATCATTATATATTGGATCTATCAAACTGTACCCCACAAATAAGTATAAACATTATATGTGTATTTTAAAAATGAAATATAAAAAAGAAACATATTGCAATAACCCTTTGATAGTCAAATTAAAAAATGACAACTGAGTTTCTCTCCAGAATACTAATCTAAATTCTAATCTTATTTTATTTTTCAGAAAAAATGCACACCATGTAGGCATATTTTCTTTTTTTGCATCTTTCCCTCAAATTAAGTTAGTATCTCAATCTTGATATCTCCATTTTTAAAAAATAGGAAAATATCTTTAGGAAATCTCCAGATGTTTTTAATGACAATCAATTTCAAAATCTTAATATCTCATTCTATTCTGCTTAACATTCAGGAAATAATTACCTTTCTTTTTTAAGGTCTGAGCACAATTCCTGGGAGTATTAACTAATGAACTAAATCAAAATTCCCCAAAACAATACTGGAGGTGCTACTTTCTGGGGGATTCATTGGATACTCGACCTTGGCTCATTCTGGCCACTTAAGATAATGTCAGACTAACTCTGGAGTGCTGTACCTTAACAATGAAAATATACAATTCTCCCTCATACCCCCTTCTCACTATCAATTTCTATTGATAGTGAGCCAAAATTAGTCCTAAAATTTAATAAAAACAAAACCAGCCTCACTTACCTTTTTTAAGATGAACATTCTGATCAGTACAAACAGCACGCCAGACATGAAACCAGACAACAGTGGAGATATAAACCAAGAGGCAACTAAATGATTAAAAAAGAGTCTAATGAATGTTAAAATTCATACATGATTGTGGTCATATTTTTATAATACGACACTGTATATAACAATATAGGTTATATACAGTAATAAATATCACCAGAATAGTTTACTCAACTCAGAACCCAGCAAGCCCTCCTGACTCTGTATATTGCTTCATTCAGACACAAAGTGGCACATAACAGATTACACTATCAGCTCAGTGGAGTAGCTGTCCCCCAAGCACTAGCCTCAGAAGACAGATTCCTTTGATTCCCACTGAGCCCTTTCACCTGCAGGTCCTGTACTTGTTCCAACAGTAAGGTTTTTTTTTTTTTTTTTTCCTAAAGGTTTCCACCTTCCATTAGATTCCTAGCTCTGGTGGCACACTGAAACTATCTGGGGAGTTTTTAAAAACCACTTATGCTCTTAACTCTACTTCCAAAAATTTGATTGATCTGAAAGGTTTGGAATGAGGTCTGGGTGGTATTTTAAAATCACTTTTCTAGGTAGTTCTAAAGTGTAGCTAATTGATGACCACTCAGATATAAGGTAATTTTCCTGGTGGCTTGTGTTTCTGATGGGCAGCTCAGAGACCTGATTAACCTGGTGATTCTGGTAGAAGAATGAGCAACACAGAGGATGGCGATGGGGCAAAAGAGCCTTTTTCACTATGGGTGGGTTGATGTGCATGAGGTTGAGTGGATTTACCTTGTGTAAAAAGCATAGCCAGGAAATAAACTGTTACTACTCTTGGAATGAGTGTTGGCCTGTTTTGGTCCCTGCTCAGCACACCTATAACCTCCAAGGAACACTACAATGCTTCCTCCCTAGGGGGCAGACTGGACAATGTCTTGACTGCAGGGAGGTTAATAACACTGGCTTCATTTGCCTTCCCATAACCATGAGCTCCTGGATTCAATGCCATTTTCTTTACTTCCGGCCTAGTCTTTCTCTGACCTTTAGATAGACTTCAATCAAATAAATTTCTGCCTGGGAAGAACAAATAAATATTGATTTTCAAAGCTGAATGACAATGTAAAATTTTAAAAGAATGGAGTTTAAAACTGTCTAACAGTTCACAATCTCCTTTAACAGAAATTCTAAGGGGGAAAGCATTACTCATACCATACAGGTCTTCTAAATCTTAACATTTGAAGGAAAAATATAAAGTAACTTGTAATAAAACTTACTCTAGAAAAGGTAAACTTTCCTTCTTATAGGTAAAAGAAAATGGCAATTACCAATCTTGACAAGTTCCATCCACTGCACACCTTTTGTACCAATTGCAACAAGTGAGAATCCTATGGTTGAACCAACAATGCAATGAGTTCCTGAGATTGGAAGTCTCAGGAAGGATGCAATCAGCTGCCAAACAGCTGAACCTGTGAATTGAAAGATAAAAATGAAATAAAATCAGACACATAGTACAGTCTTAGCCACCAAGGTAAGAAGTCCAAATTATTATTCTCTATAACAACATTTCCCTGAGTTTAATTTTCTTTTCTTTTTTTAAAAAATATTTTTTAGTTGTCAATGGATCTTTTATTTTATTTATTTATATGTGGTGCTGAGGATTGAACCCAGGGTCTCACACATGCCAGACAAGTGCTCTACCACTGAGCTACAACTCCAGCCCCCCGAGCTTAATTTTCTATGGATTACTTTTTTATAAAGTGCTGAGGACCAGACAAAAATTGCTCAATTACCTTGAAGGAAGGACTATCCCTTCTTCAACATGGAAGAGATTATGACGACTATGTATTTAAAGACAAGTCTCCTGATGCCAGTTATCACTTGCCTTTGTCATGTGAGGGTGAATATGCCAATGATGAACTTGTTTTGGCGTGAAGTTTGGTCAAAATCAGCAAGAGATTAAAGACTCTACCACACATAGAAAGATAAGAAAGGCAACACACTGGGGAAAAGTTTTGTTACAGTTATGCCTTGTAGTCACATTATGAGGAGTGCTAAATATTGTCTATGCCACATTAGTCTGTAAAAGAGTGGAAATTACCACATTAAACATTTTTTTTCTCTCTCATATGAAAAATAACTGTGATATTTAACCCAGAGTTGGGCGTCTGCTTTCAGATCCTGCTTGGTGTGTTTGGGAGCCCTTACTGTAGCTTTGTGTTCTTTCCTTCCATTCCACCACTTTCCTAGGCTTAAATGTTTTTCTAGGCTACAGTTCACTTGAGATATTTTCATAAGCAGATCAGATTTTGCAGTGAGTATTAAAAGCATCAGCTGGGAGAGATCGCTTTCAGAAGCAGTTGTTGAAAAGCCTGTACAGAACTGTACAGGAATCAAGAGTCTGGCAGATAAGCTGGGTACATTATTAATCCCAAATGTTAATTCTGGAAGCCTAGTTGCTTGGCAGCAGCAGCACCTTTAAGCGGACCCCTGGCATTTTCTTCAAAGACATTCAAGTTACAGAAGGGTCATTTATGGCTGCACAGGTCCCAGTTTGTGAGGCAACATGGACAGCTGCTCCAGTGAGGGCCAGGCGTGCTGACCTTTGAGCTGAGGCTGGCTGTGACCCTGTGTCTACCCCTGAATCATGTGTTGGGAGAAGAAGGGGCCAGCTTTGTGCTGCCAAGCTGGTAGCAGGCTCCATGGCAGCACCTAGGCTTCCCTGAGGACAATTCCTTAAGCTTCATATCTGAGCCCTGGATTCTGCAGGGACTAAGTTGTTCTAAAAATAAAGCTAGAGTTCGGAGCATGTTTCATAGCCAGAACCATTACTTAAATCTAGGGATGTAAGAGAATGGTATAAACTCACCCCACTGCATTCAGACAAGATTTTCCTTCCTGAAAACTGCTTTCCTTTCTCTGGCTGACTTTGTAATATATGTCCTGGAGGAGAGTTTGTAAGGAAAGGTAAGGGGGTGGGAACTGCCTGCAAGGGGATGAAGGAAAAAAAGAGAGAGAGAGAGTGGGGAAGAATAAAGGAACAGCTGTAAGGAGGGGCAAACAGAGACAGGACTGGCTCGGGGACCTGGTAGTGAGCAGGGGCCTCCTAAACCTTAGGAATAGCTGAAGGTAAATGGAATTACATTCACATCCAGGGGGAAAGAGAGATTTTTAATGTAAGATAATAATATCCTACAAAGAGGAATGGGATTAACTATGGGATAAAGTGTAAGAAAGCCTAGGGAAAAGGGGGAGTCAGGCATCTTTGAGGCAGTAGGCTCCTGCAAAGATGAAAGAAATGGCAAAGGTTGAGGGTCACAGTGGAGATAGGCATGGGTGAAAGCGGTGCACAGAGTAGAAACAGGAGGTGAAGGATAAGCAGGGACTGGGCAGGGCTTGGCAGCCCTGGATGCTGAGTGGCTATAAGGGGTCTGTATGCTTCTTATGGCGGTTGAAGGAAATAGTTTGTGCCAACATGGGTATTGCTATGAGAAGAATTCTCAGTAGGTATTGGCAACAGTTGGTGGTTTCATACAAAGTGGATAGATAATTGCTTTAGATCTGAGTGTCAGAAGATAACTTATTCAGAAAGTTGAGGGGCACCAACAATTTCTTCTACCAACCAACCCAACTCTAACACAACTCTATCAGAAAAAACAGAGGCCCATGGATGGGGGGAGAATTTACTAAGGAAAAAAAGAGAACATCATAGAACAGAATAAAAGGTCAGGGAGAGAGAGGGAGAAGAAAAAACTGAAGGAAGAATTTAAAAAGAGGAAGACTAGAAGAATCTGGACTTCTGAACAAAATTAGCTTTGGTTTTGGCCAATAATAATTACACTACCATCTTAAATTTACACAGCTCCTCTGCAAGGAGGTCCACTTTTAAATTCTACGTAATTCATATAAACTCCCCCAACCCCAAATACAGGCTTTGAGATTCAACTAACCACACATGAAAAAAAAAAAAAAATGAAAAGAAAGACAGAGAAACCAAAGCAAACAATCATATTATTGAAGCAAAACCTCAAATTGCTTTGGTAAACCCAAATTCTAGTTGAGGTAAGTATCCTTCATTCTTTCAGAAAAGAGCCAAGGCCAGGGGTGGGAAAAATGAAAAATTGGACAAGTTATATTGACTATACAAAAAATTAGTAGTGACATAAAGCTCAGTTCACAAAACTTTCTAACTTAAGTCCTCAGTGTAGCCTCAGTAACTAATAATCTCTTTAATAAACACAACCATTGCTCAAAAATTTCCTCACAAGAAGAAAAAATTCAGTTACCACTGAATTTTGTCAGTGTTTCTATTTCTCCCATATTTTCAATGCATCTTGTCCACATTATCTTGTTGAGAAAAATCTCAAATTCAGCTTGATATGATTAAATCTTAGATATTTATCATAACTACCAAGGATGAATTTTACAAATAATGGTTATTTTTCTAAGGGAATTTCAAATATATCTGACTGCTGAGAAATACTTGTTCAGTGAAGGTAAATAAAATTCAATAATTAAAATAGTGGTTGGAATTAAAGCAATCTAGAAACTTACATCTTTACAATACAAAATGTTGAGAAATAAGAACCTCTTAGCTTACTGTGTTTTTAATATTGAACATCTTAGTATATCAGTCTGTTTCTGTCAGATGCCTTCAATGACTTCTAAAAGTAACTTGTTATAAAGAAAGATAGTGGGTGACCTTCAATATGGCAAGTAATCTCCACATTCTAGGTGCATAAGGAATGCTAGTGACACCATAAATAACTAGGGACCTGTGGAATGTGGCTGTGTTCTTGGTACACCAGCATCTTACCTCCTACTGCAGGACTCTTCCTACAAAAGGATATGTCCTGTTGAAAGCAGAAGGTGGTGGAATTCCTCTCTAACCCTCTTCTCCCTAACCAAATTACCCGTATAGATCAGCTGTCTGCTGTGACGTCATCTCTACCTAGAGGCAAGCAGAGAAAGAGTCCTGTCAGCTGCACTTAGTGTATTCCTGCCTGGACTTTTCTTTAAATTGCAAGGAAGTGTCCCCATAGTGTTTCAAGGCTACGGTCACTGTGGGCAAGGGAGAAATCACATTGACCAACCAGTTTATTTGCACATCAACACAGTTCACTCAGCTCAATTCTTTCCTTCATCTAGACAACTGAAAACTACAAATAAAAGGCCATAGTATACGCAGGTGACATACAAATTATGTTTTGGCCAGAAAAACCCACACACGTATCAAAAGTTGTTCCCAGTGGTAGAAGCAGAAAATCAAAACAAGAGCCAAAAAAAAAAAAAAAGACCAGAACTGCTTGAAATGTAACCACTTAAATTCATTTGGTAATGGCACTAGAACTTAAATGAAGAACACAAGAGTTAAAATAATAAATATTATCTGTTTAATTTTTGGTTCTGAGAATTCAACCCAGGGCCTTGTGCATACTAAACATGTATTCTGCCACTGAGCTACATTCTCACTCAGCCCCATGAGTGTTGGTTTTGTTGCTGTTGTTTGTTTTCCCAATGCTGGGGATGGAAGCCAGGGCCTTGCCCATGATAGGCAAGTGCTCTACCAATGAGCCACACCTCTAGCCCTCTAATTTATATATGCATATATTTTTTGACAGTCACATTTCAAAACGCTACATCCTAAGTAAAACCATAAATCAACCTTCAAGGAAATTTCATAGGTAAACTTTGAAAACACATTTAGATAATATTATTTCTTTCATAACTTTTAAATAACTCCAAAACAATGAAGAGCTACTCTATATTTTTCAACTTTGTGAGAAGTATTCACCTATATGAAATTTATTGTAACCATCAAGACTGCTAATAATTTGAGAAAATAAATGCTTCAAAAAATCACAACCAAATTAAATGCAGAAAGTGAGAAGCAATCGAATTGTAAATATGAAACATCAGATCAGTTTTTGAAAAGTTAAACCAAAAATCACACTTATGGATATGGAGAGAGTTGTAGTAGGGAAATAGGCCAGTGGACACATCACTCATTGGTGTAAAGACTTATGCTACTTACCAACCATTGCGCTAACTTCCCCAGCCATAAGTGTTTCTACGGTATCGTTGTATAGGTTCACGTCAATGATACCTTTTCGAATAGTCTCTCCTACTTTGGCCCCCAGCAACACAGAGCCGGTGGTTTCAAATATTGAAGCCAAAATGCATGCCTGCTTCAAGGTCACCACACCAGAGCCTACGGCAGTACCGAATGAATTGGCAACATCATTTGCACCAACAGAAAATGCCAAGATGAAAGCTATAATAAAACCCAAAATGACCATCCACAAATACTCATCCATGGCCATTTTGGAAAATAGGCTTCGGGTACTTTTCTTTCGCAGAAATATTTTAAATAAACAAAGCTTGAGGTTATAAACTTCGTAAGGCCGAGAGTTCTTGTAAACAGTGAGTTTGCTCTGGAAAGTGCTGGACAGTGTTAGAGTCTGAACAAACTGCTAACTGCTGGTTTTCAAACTACTGTCAGTACAGTTCATTTGGTTGTGTTCAGTCAGCAGTAAAACACATTCCATATTTTTTCTCCCAATCTGGGAAAGCTGTGATGTCTCCTCCTGTAACAAGAAAGAAAACAAAAGAAATCAATTACCCTAAGCAACATGTAACAGTATAACAGTTTGTTCTTTCAGAAATAAATGTTTTAAGCCTGCTAATGGGATCTAACTTTGGCATGTGACAGATCTAACCATAAAGCAATTCAAGGAAGATTATAATTAGACTCCCTCCGCCCATACCGACCAACAAATAAAACATTAAAAAAAAATAAAGCTGGATTCTACATTGTCAGAGGTTGAAGCATGCTTAATAATTATAGGCTGACAGTAAGCCCTACTAGGTTAAGTTTTTATATGCAATTTGAAAAACACATTTGGTCATTATTTTCAGTGAGTTGCAATTGCCTCAAGTGAGCAAAAGATCAAGAAATGAAATGTTAAGGTAGTTCTTCAAATATGTGGAATGGGCCTAGTTCCTTAGAACAGTGATAATCAACTCTGATCCTGTGACACCACAGAGTGTGGCTAATTATCTACCTGCACATGTAGGTACAGGGAATAAGCCCTTCATGCTATAAGTACACCATGCATTTGTCTAAAAGAAAGTCTATAAGCTATGGCTTAAGGTCATGCATACAGAGGGTGATGAAGGTGGGAACTAAAAGGCCTCTGAGGAGGAACATAGAAGACTAGAGAATGAAGTAGTCTATTAAAGCATGAGTCAGACCAAGTCACTATTCTGCTACTTCCCATCTCAGAGGAAAAGCCAGAGGCCTCACCCCGAACTGACTTCGACTCTTATCTACCTTCTCACTCTGGCTCCTTGCTATTCCTTGAAAACCTCAGGGCTTTTGTACCTGATGATCCCTCTGCCAGGAAAAATACTACCCTTTGACAGCTGCACAGCTCACTCCTCATTCCATTTAGGTGTCTGCTCAAATGTCACCATCCAGAGAGGCATTCCCTGACCTTAGAAAGGAGCAGCCCCTCCCACCTGCCATTATTCATCCCTTTTACCCTACTATTTTTCTTTCTCTACTTATCACCTGACTCATTGATTCATTCATTCTTGTTGCACTGTGTTCTCCCAACACAGGGATTTTTATTCACTGCTGAATCTCCAGTACATAGACGAGTGCCTGGTGTGGGGGTGATCCATAATCAATTTGTTGAATAAATGAAGAAGCTATTAAACGAATACTTACTCCTGCTTTGAGGAAGGACAGAAGATGCTACAAAATATATCTGTGCAGTAAAAATGTCTCTAAATGCTTCCTAACTACAGTATTCTGTTGCTATAGAGTCAAAGTACCAAACCCGTGTATTTTCTCTGAAAGGTGTTAGATGTATGGAATGGTACTAGCACAGTGTATTTCCTCATAAATATTTACTAAATTGCACTGAATGAATTAGGCTTATCTACAATGTCATACAGAATATAATACTTTGATCAATCAACTGTAAGTTATTTATGGGGAAAAAGCAGGACATAAATTTTTATATATATTGTGATTATGGCAATGCTAATAATGTACAATAAAAAACGAAAAGATGGCCTGGGGATGTAGCTCAGTAGTAGAGTACTTGCCTAGCATGTGCAAGACCCTAGGTTTGATCCCCAGCACTGCAGGGAAACAAATAACACACACACACACTAAAATCCACCAAAATGTGAGTTTGAGTAGTAGTGTGATAGATGATTTTTTTCCCCTTTCCTTCCTGAACTGTATATTGTGGATACAGAATGTTCAAATGAGAATAATATATAATAATAAGGGTCAACAAACATATTTAGTATTATCTATGTATACAAAGTTGTAGGCACACAATTAAACAGAAATGTACACTGATAAATCTTATCATTTTCTAAGAATTTTAGCCTATGCAATTCTGAAGATTCAGATTCTAAGTGAGAGAATGAAAAGACCACTCTGAAGCAAAAGACAATATTCTACTGAAAGACATTTATTAATATTATAGGCACATTAAATCTATAAATAAAAATCAAGGGGCTGGGGCTTTAGCTCATGGTAGAGTAATTGCCTAGCACATGTGAGGCATTGGGTTCGATCCTCAGAACCACATATAAATAAATAAATTAATTAAACAAAGGTATTGTGTCCATGTACAATTTTAAGATAGATAACAATTTTTTGTACACTAAAAAATATATTTAAAAAAATGAAAATCAAAATATTTGGAGCCAATGTTATCTATCTTAAAATTTAAACAAATTCTTGATGAAATCTTATTTGTCAGACAAGACTGCCAAAAGGGACATAAGAACAACATTCAGAGGTGGAATGGGGACAGGAAAGATGGTGGAATGAGATGGACATCATTACCCTAGGTAATGTACACATGTGTGACTGCACATATGGTGCGATGCTACATCGTGTACAACCAGAGAAATGAAAAGTTGTGCTGCAACTGTGTACAATGAATCAAAATTCATTCTGCTGTCATATATACCTAATTAGAATAAATAACTAAAAAAGAATAAAAAATCAACAATTACCTAACATTACATCTCAAAACCCTAGAAAAAGAATTTTTAAAAAAAGAACAACATTCAGCAAATATTTATTGGGAATTTCCTTTGGGCTAGTCACTAGGAATACAGTAAAAAAGAACTGATGTGGTTCTGGCACATGAGGGGATTTCAGTTCAGTGAATCCGGTGAAGGAAGCAGACACTAATCAAATAATCATGTAAGTGTGACTACATGCTTCAGTGACAAGGGTTATGAAGGAAGGACACATGACAATCAAGTGTCATAAGAGCAAACTGGGGCATGACCTTATCTGAGGACAGGAAAGGCTTACCAGATATCTACAGATAGTGGGAATTAATTCTGGGACTAGGGGAAGTGTTTATTCCAGACAACTCTCAAGGTAGGAAGGAGAAGAGACTGGAGGCAGGCCAGGGAGAGGGAAACCATGATGAAAATTGAGGTGGGTCACATGAAAGACAGTGGCCACCATGCAAACAATTTGACTACCAATATGGGTTTGAATTGGAGATGGGGCTCACATAATCAGACTTAGCATTTTTTAAAGATCATTCTGGGTGCAGCATAGACAATGGACTGACAGAAGACAAGCATGAATGTGGTGAGACTAATCATGAGCCTACTACATGGTTCAGGCATGAGATGAGGAATCCTGGACCAGAGTGGTGATGGTGATAGATGAAGGGAAGAAAAGTAAAATTCAACAGGACATGATGATGGTTTGCATACAGGGGTCGAAAAAGGTTAGATGCTACTGACATATGGAACTAGACTGAAAAATAACTCAGTGGGTTTTTTTTCTTTTTTACCTTTTGTGTTATTTTCAGTTTTACTTTTTAGTGTTAAGATAGGCTTTGACCACAGAACATTTCTTATGGATGTGCCACACTTAGAGGTAAATCATGAGCACAGAAAAGAAGAGTATACACCAGAGCAGCTGTGTCCTTTGCCCAGTTTTGCTCGGGAAGGTTATTAGTCATCTTTATGTTACCATTGTAATCATTTCAGCCTGGAGATTGCCTTTCCTACTTAGATAATCTTAGACTACTCATTTCCACAACTGTGTTTATGTTTCTTAATTTGGCTTTTCTCTCTCACATTCATAATCCAAGCTAACCAGACTGAGTCCAATAAGCATCAGGTTGAGAAAGGCTTGCCGCTTTTTTTTTTTTTTTTTGGTAACCTAAATGATTTCTATATCTTAAATGTTCTATACTTAAACTTATAAGGCTCATTTTTGTTAACCAACACTTTGATTTTTCTCCCTTTTCTCCTTAATTTTTTTATCAAACTTGAGCAAAATTTAAAAAATGCTTAAATAATTACAGAATCTGTTGGATAGAAAAAGATGGCAATGCTGCTGAATGGAGCCACAGGAGGGCCAGAGGATACTTTGCATAGGGCCCAAACCTTAACTGCCTAGAATGTAGAAGGCCAAATTCAGGATGAATGAGGTCTGATCAGGTATGATATATGAGAGTACTGTCTGTTTGAAAGTAGGATTTGAAGGTAGATATCAAAAATCAGTGGGGAAACATTGACACATTCAATAAGATGATGTTGAGATAACTGTAAATGACTGACTATTTGGAAGGGAAAAAAAAAATAGATCCCTACCTCACACCAAAAATAAAAGATTTAAATGTAAAAGTCAAAACCTGAGAAGAATCAGAAAAAAAGAACAATATTTACTTAATATTGGAGTGGGGAAGACTAGACATAGCATAAAGGTAGTTAATAGAAGGAATCAATACACTAGAGTTCATAAAAATTATGTAGATGTGAGAGAGGGAGGTCTCAAGTGTGGAAATAGCACGGAGAAATGCCATCTCTCTTTCCACAGCAATGACTTTCGACAAGGGGGCAGTACTGTTTAGAATTTTCAGCTAATGCTCTGGCTCTTTCTAACACCCCTACAAGGTCTTTTCTGGAAAAGGTCAACAGTACTACATCAAAACATGAAAAATGATTGGAACAAGCTTCTTAACTCTCTCTTACCCTGACTATGAAAGCCTCCTACATGGCTGAGATTTGTAGGCATGAATATTACAAGACACTCTTCAATTTTCAAATGCCACAGACTTCTTCCATTTGAGGAACAAGAATCTTTAAAGTATTTTCCAACTATTCCAAGAGGCACGGAAGGGTTTCTTAAGTCCCATCTCCCAGACTTGTAATATGTCAACAAGTTCCTCCCTTTCTTTCCTCAGCATCTTCTGTGCTTCAGCTGCCTCCCACCACCCTGTTCCTTTATCTATGCACCAGCTCCACTCTTTCACCAGGCCCAATGAGGCCACTTGGCAGGACTCAAGTTAAGTATTAGATTATGTATTGTTTGTGACAATGGAGATCAAGTCCAGGGCTTCGTGCAAGCTAGCTAAGCTTTCTATCACTGAGCTGTGCCACACCACTGCCTGGATTCTCTCTTTGTAATTTCTATCAGCATCAGTTGCATCTGTACCTAATATACTCTCATTCACACAATTAAGAGCAGGAATGCTGAATAATTGTGACATTTAACACATCTATGCAAAATGAAGTTTGGGTA